TTATTATTATTATTATTATTATTATTATTATCAACAATTACATTCACGTATAAGTTATTTTATTTTTAATTCAGACCCACCCCAGCTCCATCTTTGTTGGCCAAAAGGTTATTTCACTGTGCATAGAAAGGGAGCGATTTTATTTTTAGTTTAGAATTGAGAAGTGCCTAATGACTGACATTACCAGCATCAACAAGGAACACAGGAAATGAAAATTTTCTGCTTTGTATGTTTGCTTTAACTGAATCTCAAAGCTGCATATGGTATGTGGACCACCTTGTGGACACAAAAACAGTGTAGGGACGGGAATATAAAGACTTTGTTGATGTATGAGTAATCACACAAATTACTGGGGAAAATGACATGTAAATGTCCTCAGGGTTCAATCTTGGGCCCTCTTCAGTTTAACCTCTACACCCTCATACTGAAACAGATGGAGCAAAGCAACTAAACATGATGCTCCAGTTATGTAGCCAAGATTCCAATCTGCATAACCTCGGGATCATGATTCCTTGAAAATATATTTTAAATCAAGAGTCTTAAACAAATAAAAAACTGAATTAAACTGATTGTCACTGGTTTAACAAAAGCTTGAAACTCAGTTTCTTCAAGTTGGTGATATTCATTAACTCCCTCCTTCCTCTTCCATTCATAAATGGTTAGAATGAGAAGCTAAATGTTGGTCTTTTGATCTACTTTATATGAATATATGTGAAAAAAGTGTCCAAGTTTTTTTTGTTGTTGCTGTAACCCTTTATTTAAAAGCCATTTGCTTTTTGTTTATATGGGTTTATATGGTGCATTTAAATACATACTAATGTACTGTATTAGTAAAAAAAATATTTAATAGTCTATAGTGAACATCTGGTTGGGAAGTTGCCTTAAGAAAAATAAAAAACACTTACAAAAGAAATCCTGAATGAAATTATCAGAATTCATGCATGACAGGGTTGAAATACTACCGACAAAGCAAAATGACCCAGAAGTGTTTAAGTGCTCTCCATGAAAAGCCATCATTGAATTTTTCTAAAATCTAAAGACGGAAGCTTCACTGCCTCCTCTATGATCTAGTTAATCTGGAATAAAGTACTGGTACCACCATATAAAAAGCAAAGGAAAGGATTCCCTTCGATTAAAAGAAAAGGGATTTTCATACAGGGATTCAAACTAATAACATAACCATTTAATCCAGTACTACAGTTATATAATGTTTTGAGGACATTTTCTGTAAAATCCTGTAGAATCAGAACCTATATGTTTAAGTAAAATAGCCACAGAGAATTTCTTTTTTTTAAATTCCTATTTGATCAGACCGTTTAGAATAGGGTTACCTTAACGCATTTTAAAGAAGGACGCCTAAAAAATAATATTCTTTTATGACTTAAGTTTACTGGTGTTATTCTCATCTAAAAAGATGTTAAACATTGTCTCTAAGTCAATCACCATATAATATTAATTGTATTACTTGACATTGAATTTCAGACATGTTAGGAAGTGACTGAGGTTTTCCCCTCTTATTAGAACCGCTCGTGATGTGGATATAAATTTGACATTTGGAAAGCAATGCGCTCAAAGGAGATCCCTAAAAAAACAGGAAAACACTCTAGTCTTTGTCTCTGACCCATTACAGACAGCCAATACTCAGAGAATGAGTTCAAATAAAATAAAAAAAAGTATCTGTAAACGCTCTTCAGGGCCCTCAGAAGCTCCCCGAGGATCTGAAGCACCCCATGGGAGGAAGTCAAGTGTGAATGATGCAAGACGATGGGACAAAGAGAGGAGCGTGAGTAAGTGAGGAAGAGGAGAACCGGCTGAGAGGAGCAGGACGCTAATGCCGTTCAGAGCTGTGACCGTTAGGGGTGATGGAGGGGAAACGTGGCGGGCAACGAGTGTCTTGAGGTTAAGATGACCTTCTTTAGCCTGTTTCTGGTGCCCGGTCGGCATGGAGTCCAGCTGCCGGCCCGGTACAGTGCTGCCTCAGCAGAGGCAGAGGCAGATATTACACGCTCCATTTGCAGAGGATGATTCAGACAACAGCTATCCGCCAGAGTGAGATGTAGACGTAACCGCAGAGCAACTAACTCACAGAATAGAGATGTAAAATGAAGCTTGGGGGGGCAAATGGAGTGCCCCCGGCGCTCAGTGTCAGCTGTCAGAGCACTTTCAGCTCCTTTGTTGAAAATTGATTTCAAGGATTTCGATAAGACGCTGCCCCCCGTCCTCAGAACAAAGCCTCTTATGCTGTCTAAATAAAGACGAGAGAACAATGTTGTGCCGCTGCATTGCTGACAAAAAAAAAAGATGCCCAAAGCCTTTCCAGTCTGATCTTCAGCTGATCAAGCTGAGGTGACAGGCTTAGCAAGACACAAAATCCAAAGGAGCAGCGCCCCCTCTCGGCCTTTAAATCCTACCGCAGGAGAACGGAAGCTTACGTTAGAAGGAATCTGGTCCTCTGGTTCTTCATCCTCCAATGGGGGCCCTCGAGGAAGGAGGGACAAAACAGAGAATCTCCTCATTTACCAGCTTCTGATTGCTGAAATAAAAAGAACAATGTGGCATAAATGTAACATTCAGTGGAGTCTTAACTGGTGCCTGTCGTTTTCCGTGTTCTTGAGTTATTGGTTTTCATTTAAGTTTACACATTTAGAAGACTAGGATGCAAGGTTTAAATTTAAATGTATAAAAAAACAAAACACAAAAAACAATGGTTGAAAAAACAATGACCCAAAAAGCATTACAAGCCCTCCTTACTTAAAAATGACAACATTTGAAGAAGTTATCCCCCCCAAAAAAGTAACAACAAAAGCTTTCATTTTTATTTTCCTTTCATACATACTCCCATTAGTATCCCTAATCTGTTAATCAGGCTATTGCAGCCTGGGAGTATATTATCAACTAAAGGTTTGCAACTGGACTATCAATCACATTTTTTTTATTTTTTAGTATGTCGAAACATACAAATGGATTTGGTAGGAAACCCCTAATAAAATGAACACCACATACTGTAGGAGGATCCTGTCACTCAAACGCATTTGACTTATTTGTTTATTGTGATATACAAAACAGGCTTGGGGGTTTTGCGTCCAAACGTAAGTGGACCTAAAACAAATGGGCTTTTGCTACCATTTGAACTGCATTAACATTAAGAAAAACACCAAGAAACACTCACAGAGAATAAACAGATTAGAATGTAATGATGAAAATAATAATGAAGAAAAACAAACCCGTTATTCTGCAGTTTGGCCTTGGAGCTGGCTGTTTACTGGCTCCGGGTCATGGTACGTGTTGCTGTCCGTCCTCTCACTTTCTTACACTGACCGGTCCACAGCGAGGGGGTCACTTCAGCCTCGGTGTGAAATGCTGCATGCTGCATATTCCCCCCGGCTCAGCATAATCCCGCAGTGATTATCACACGCATGCGAAAGATTGACTGTGTTGTGAGCTTAGCCTAATACAGATCAGTGAGTTCATTCAGTCTTTACAGAAAGAGATAATGAAAAAAAAAACTTCTAGGCGGATAGGAGAAAGAGGAGAAGAGATCTATGAAAAAGGCAATTTCTCAGTCAAGTCAAGTTTGGTTATTCTATTAAAGTAAATAATTTTCAACCTAAAGTATATGAATACCTTTGAAGTTAAAAATAGCCCTGGACCTGATTGTGAGAAGAAGAAAGTTGCAAAAGCAGCTCAGAACAAGTCAGAACTTGGGGACCATCCAAAAAGTTTTTACAGTCAGGAGCTTATTCGGCTTCTATTAAACAATTGATTCAATGAAAGGGCTTTCTGACATTAATTCTTCAGACCCCACAACAACGTCATTCCTTGAAATAAATGAAGTATCACTGAATTCATCCATCTCTAGTTGTGTTCTGTTAAGGTGAAACTTCCAAACAAACTACACTTGTTGGGCCTAATTCAATCCACACAAATGTATCATTTTTCTTTTTTTCTCTTCAGTTTTCATAAAATAACATTAGTATTGAGTATTATGTATTGTATAGTTATCCAGAATGTGTTTTTTTCATTTATGTATTTCTAAAAGGCCATTGTCTTTCACATTTAATGGAAGGTAAAAGAATGGTCGCTTGTAAACTTTCAATATTACACTAACTGATGTGATATTGCCCAAAGAACTACAATTATTCAAGAGTAAAAAAAAGGTCTGCTGGCATTAATTAAATGGCTCCCAAAGGATAACTTGTTACCAAGATTACAATCCAATGCGCAATTACAGAATTATTAGGAAAATGGAGACTGACAGCTCTACCGTTGACCAGTTATTCTGCCCAGAGCTCACTCAGTCCCAAATTCTTGGGATTTGGCCAAAGGGGATCAAGCTGTAAATTGGTTAACATGATGAAATCATAATTCATGATAATGAACTGGACGGAGGCTGGTGGTGAGTTCTCTTCTAGACACTCTTTGAAAAACCTATTTCAGAAATGTCACACCGGAAGTAAACCTGATGCTCAGTGCCCGGAGAGTCAACTTATATTTTTTAGGGAACATTAAACTTGAAGTTGAAACATTGAGTGTATTAAAAGTGCTGCAGAACTGTTTCGGGCCCTTCTGCACAACACTGTTTGTTTACAGTTAATGCAACAGGTGAGTCAGACTGCTCCTTGATGTTCAGAAATTCTTAACATATCCAATCCCACATTTAAATCATTCACACTCCAATCATCAACATCTGGATAGAGAATTTATTGAGGACATGTAGGGTGCAGCCAAGAAACCATAATTTACAGCATGGAACATGAAACAAGTGTTCAGAGTTCACGGGGCTCCGGCCTTAGGGGGAACCCACTCGTGGATCTTCTTGCGGGTGGTGGGGTAGGGCACATACTGCTGCGACGAGCCGCTCACGTTAAACTGGTGCACCTCAGCCAGAAACTTTTTGGGCTCGGGAGGGTGGGTTGTGGGAGGATCGTCTGTCATACAGTGCAGCCAGCGGTGCCTGAAAACATAAGAAAGATTTTGAATAAGATTTTATTCATTATTGTAATTTTCTAAACTTTTTTCATCCAAAGTCCAGTAAAAAAAATGAAATTCCTCAGAGCTGAATGAAAAAAAAAGAATTAGAAACAAAGAGGACGCTTGCAGGGCTAAATGTGCATTAGCATGATGGCCTAAACAGGAGAGCTATAAATAGAAAAACGCTTCTAAAACTGGATAAAATATAACTTTGAGTGTCAGATGCATAAAATGTTGCACAAGTACAAAAGAAATGGAAAGGTTGTAAAAGGGTAACAAAGTTTTTGCTGGTAAGAGTCAAGGCAGAAACCTCAAAGCAATATGGCTGAAAATAGTAAAAAACAGTAAAAAGGAATTAAAAACAAATGTGAAGACATAGAACATCAATGAAATGGCCAGAAAACAGTACAAAAGATACATTTTGTGGCATAAACAATATCATGTCAAAAAGCTGTAAGAGCTGTGATTCCTCATAAGTAACTTATTTAGCATAATATGAAATAACTAGGTAAAGCAATAGCTAAACTATATCAACCTCCCTTTGCAAGTTTTCCTGCAGGAGTTTTGAAACCATTATTGTCACTATTTCTGCAGATGGGACAATAAAGTCAATATTATACCATTCAGCTGGCACCATGCTGCCGTCCACCTCCCACAGTGTCTTCTTCCCGTTCATCTCTGTGGTGTAGATCACCCAACGATGACGTCCTGATTACAATGACATGACATATCATTCACAAAGAGAAGTTTAACCAAAAGCCGTAGGGTGAAATAGAATTGTAACATCCTCCAGGTTTTAGGATAAAAAACAAAAAGGTACAGTTGATTTAACCTGTGAACTTCTACTGAACTTTAACTTCACTCACCAAAAAAGTAGTTCTGCCTGTCCTCGTAGTATTTGTTTCCATACTTGTCCACACCGATCAAATTACCCGTTTTCACATCATTTACTCTGGAAATAAAATGAGCATGTTATCTTGTCTGTTCTGTCACATTCAAATAAATCTTATCCTTCTTGTTATCAGTTATCTTACAAATGCTCCTGTAAAACCCAATTCTTCATAACAAAAGTCATAACAAAATATTGGTGACTCCTTTTTTGATCCAAGGTCAACTCTAAGACTTCAAATTTTGATTACAGTAATCTCCCCTTGGGTTACTAAAGTACTTTGATTAACTGATTTATTTATTATCTTTTTATTGATCTTTCAATGCAGTTTTAAATATCATTGAACCCAAACGCCACACAGATCGGGCATCCAACTCGAAATGATTCTCATAGGCTGCATGACATTGAAATACTACAGAACGTGAAACATCTTAGGTTTAGTTGTTTGCTGGCTGGTGGAACGTTATATGTAAACTTGCTAGGTGACGTTAGCTCTTCTCACCGAGGAACGCAAGAAGCATATTTTAAGTAGTATTTTCAGTCCTGTCTGATACATTTCCCTCAATTTAAAACCCCAAACCTAGGTAAATACATTGTTTTACGACACCAACCTGAACAGCTGAAGTAATAAGCCTCGTATTCCACCATGACCTCCTATTTGTCCCAAAGCCCTTCGGACGATGTTTGCATACTCCGCCATCTTTAGACGGAAGTAAATTGCAGACGGACCGTTCACCGTTGCCAGATCTCGCGAGAGAAACAAGTAACCTGTTCTATTAAAACGAGCTTAAAAAAGATTGACCCAAAACATTTTACACAGTATAAATATATACATTCATAATATGTAAGGAACTGAGAAATTAAGCTAAACACCTGTATAATAATTATTAGTACATTATTTGACTAAATGATACAAATATTTTTGTGTTGTCTCTGTTTTGGTGCAGTGAAAACCATGTTTGAAAAGAAAGTTGCTATTTTTTGGGGGCTTTTCCCCCCTAAAAGTACTGAATACAGATTCGATTTTGGATGGTCCAATGACTGAGTGGCAAGTTTCTGCAGCTGATTTTAGGGGAATGTGTCTTACTGAAAACCTGATCATTGGTTAGAAGCCAATGTAGGTCTGGAAAGGGGAGATACTTGTGGCCAAGAAGACATAAGAGTTGTGGGCATATTTTGACTCCATGTTAACTGATGATGCGATGATGATCTTTACTCGTTATGATTGACATGTCTGACACTGCGCTTTGTCACAATGAGCATTCTTTGACCTCTCGGTTTGAGGTGTGTCAGTAGCCAAACTTAGTCAAAGTGACTCTTGAGCTAATAAAATTCACATTTTGTAAAGGCACGTGTCACTGTAACTCTTATTTTCTGTGCATATTGGTCTAAAACGCCACAGGTATCATTAAAAAGAACAAAACAATGTTTCTCTGATCCCGTCGTCAAGAGGGAGAGGCTCTGTTTTGTCAGCTAGTGGCATGTTTCCTTCAACGTTCCCCTCATTCACCAGCAATTCATCTGCCTCTACCATTACCAACTGCACAACTGGAGACTTCAAGAAGAGGGTTTATCATTCCGTCAGCAAAGACTGATGCAGTAACCATGAGAATGTTCTCCTGATCTAGAGAGCCACGCCTGGTCCAACAACATGGATGCTTTACTGATGTAAATTCAGCTCTAAAAAATGTGCACACTAACAATTATTTCAGGATGTTAATCAAAAAACGTTCTTGTAAGAGGTTTATTACATACACGGAGTCTGCATGCAGACTTTCTGCTCTGATCTGGTGCCTCATTTTTGCTGATGCTCCAATTCTACTTTGTCTTCCTTTACATTCTTGGGTTCCTCCAATTAAACTTGTTTTGTAAACAGCCACACAGAGTAACCTTGGGAACTGTGCTGTGATACTTTGAATTGTCCTGTACATGAAATGTGCTATACAATTAAACTTGCCTTTAACCATAATGACAGAATTTAACACCAACCTCTGTTTGAGACCATCATCCCCACAAAGACAGGTGAGCCATGGACCCCAAGCTGTGAACTATGATGCAGAGCATGAACAAACTGGACTGAAAGGAGGAGAAACTCAGGGCTATCCCCACTTCTAAAGAGGTAAATTCATGTGTTGACAAATCTGGATAAGTTTGGACTTATTATCGAATGTTATTATATCCTGCTAAAGCCAGCGGGCTAGCTAGAAGCTAACGTCACCCCATTTACACTGAAGACAAAATTATGGATTCATCAAGTTCCCGTTTAAGTTTTGCTAATTTTTAAGGGAGATAGTTGAATTGTTTAGCAGTCTGCGCATAAATTGACCTCGTTTGTTACTTTCCCGTAATGTTTTCATCCAGTTTACGTTCCGCGTGCCGCTATTCAGTGCCCACCATTATTGAACCACACGTTATTTGTTTATTTTTTGGTTCAGCTATCACGCTATATATATTTTCCAATTGCTAAAATAAATAAAATTGGGATATGTTATGTCTTTATAGTAGTATAAAAGCGATATTCAACTCTCAGATGTTTTTTTTATCTTATCGAATTAATATTGGTGAAAGTTTGTATTAATTGCTGTTGTTTGACCTCGACGTTCATTTATTTATTTTTTGCATTATGTTTATTTTTAAATTTCTGGTTGGATCGAGTCCTCATTGGGTTTTATTCTGCCTTTAACGGCATGTATTTCAAATAGCGCAAAAGTATATATGCACACGATTTATTCAACGCTAAAAAGGAAAAAACTATCATATAAAGATGTTTGCAGAAATAAATAAAAAACGACGAAAACGACATAAAAAACAGTAAGCGCATCAACCAAAGCCTAACGATTCAATCTGAAAAGTAAATATGTGGGATAAAATAGTAAATTGTGTATACATATGAACAGTTTTTTTGCCATATCAGCGTCAGGTACGCTGAGCTGAAAATGCACGAACATTCTGGAACCAAAGTTCAAATTATTTAGATTTACGTTTTCGTATCTTTGTTGTTATTGTTTTGTTTCGAAAATTGAACTATTATATGGAAGCATGACGTAACATTCGAATGACGCACGGACATCAAAGGCAGGGACGCGATGATGACGTCACAAAGCTAACTTCTGTGCCCTCGTGCCTCAGTCACTTCATATGCTCAGACACATCAAGGTGGGACACACTTGTTCGCGTGGGATTCCAAGCTCAACGTAAAAAATGGCGGCTTCGAAGAGTGAAACGTCTTTACTCTTCTTCCAGAAAGACTTGGTTTTGCGATGCAAGACCGGCCCATACCTCATCAAAGAAATCATTGGCGAGGGCGGTTTTGGAAAAGTGGCCGAGTGCAAACATCTGCACACAAACGAGCATCTGGCGGTTAAAATCGTGAAAAAAGACGCTTCCAAAATTGGGAAAAAGGAGGCGGAAACGTTGAGTCGAATCCGAAAACTTGACCCTGACAAGCACAACCTCCTGACGTTCTACGAGTGTTTCAAGTACAAGGGCCACGTTTGTCTTTCCTTTGAAATGCTGGACACGAATTTAGACACCTGGATTTATGACAAAAAATACCGGGCGCCGTTTATTTATCAGATCAGATTCATTGCTCGACAGTTGCTGGTGGCTTTGAGCGCGCTGAAAAAATGGGATATTGTGCACACTGACATCAAGCCAGACAACATAATGCTGGTAGACCACAGACTGCAGCCGTTTAAAGTCAAGCTTATTGACTTTGGTCAAGCGATGAAGCACGCTCAGTTGGACCGGTATGACATGTTGCAGATCATCGGTTATAGGGCCCCGGAGGTTTTTGTGGACTTCCACAGGGATGAAAGTATGGACATGTGGGGGCTGGGTTGCATCTTGGCCTTTTTATTTCTTGAATGTGATCTGTTTCCGACCTACTGCGAGTACGAGTCCCTGAGTGCCATGGTAAAATTGCTAGGTTATCCTAAAGCCAATGCGCTGGACGCGGGGAGAAAGACAAAAAAGTATTTTAAAAGGACTCAGGATGGCCCGCATTTGAGGTGGAGGCTGAAAACGGCAGCCGAATATAAAGCAGACACAGGCAAACATGTAAGTGAGTACATAAAGCACGACCAGTTAGAAACTCTGGAAGAGATGGAAGAGTACAAGGAACCTGAAGACCCCACTGATTCTGCGGAAACGGAGGCATTCATAAGCCTCCTCAGAGACATGCTGAAGTTGGATCACAGAGAAAGAATCACCCCCGATGAAGCGCTCAGTCGCTACTTTGATGAAAATCTTCCAAAGGACAAGAAAGAGCCTCTGAGACTCAGACCTGTTGTCAAATGGCAGGAGAACTCGGAAGGGAAGGTCACTGTAAAACCCGCCGTAGTTGTACCTGGGAAAAGAGCCACTTTCAACATCGTCTCGCGCAGAGAGAGGCAAAAATCAACGCACTCCAGGAATCAGGAGTCAGACAACCCATCTGACTTTGGAAATGAAATTAGTAATGCCAGTGTAGGAACCATTATTGTCTCACTCCCGGCATATGAAGAAACGGTTGCGCCCGATTGCAAACAAACGGCTCCTGTCGGCTCAAAACAAGACGCCAGCGACTGCCCGGGTGACAAGACGGTTTCAGACAAACCAGTGTCAGAAACTGTAAATGATGCTACGCCTGTAGGAAATAACAGGGAGCTTCCAGATATATCCAAGTCCTCAGATACATCCAGCTCATCTGAAGCTACTCTCAGTGGAGACCAAGGAAGCTCACTGTTTGTTGAAGTGAAAACCAGAAAAAAATATTGGAAGAGGATCAAAATATTCTTCTCCAGAATTTTCAGCTGTTGCAGCCAAAGTTAATGAGCACAGTCAACATGAGCCTCAGCTTGGATAGACCTCCGCACGGCCCTTCAATGGTGAAACTTTAAAAAAGAATAGCAGTTTGGTAGCTGAGAATCAAACTGTATATTTTCAGGCTACTAGCAAGCAAGTCGGGCTTAGACCCACAGGTTTCAAATTTACACTTATATTACAAAAAACCCTGCAAATGTTTTTTCAAGAGGACATTTACATGGTTAATGGGGTCCTATTTTTTGGTTTCCCAATGCTATTGGATAGAAGAAGTGTTTAAAAACATCAGCAGCCTTTTTACCATCACAGAAAAAAATCACAGGACTAGTGTCTAACCCAGACCTAGAAAGACACATGCATGCAGTTTGTCTCCAGCAAGTTAGACTACTGTCACGGCCTGCTCACGGAACTTTCCAAACCAAGTATAAGGGAGGTGCAGAACATCCAGAATGCTGCTGCTAGAGTTCTGACTAGAATCTAGTTCTATTTGGAAACTGAATGTATTTTATCTGCGCCCCTTTTTAATATACTTAATTTATTTAGCAGATTCATTTTCTCTTTATTTGTTTTATGCTTTTAAACTCTTGGTAAAGCACTTTTTCTTTCTTTGTTTTCTGCTTTTAAACTCGTTGTAAAGCACTTTGAGTTTTGCACTCAATGTGCCAGACAAAAACGAACAAACCACCAAAAAACTAGCCTTGGCTTGCCTTGTAGGTTTTGTCATTTGGTCATTTCTAAAACTGTCCCTGTGCTGCAGATACAGTTGCCAAGAATAGAGGAAGATTTCTTGCTGCCATCCATAACTGTTTGGAAACGGGGGTAACGGGCAAATGCAGTGATGCACTTCAACTGTCGTGTGAGACGGATGAGGAATGACACTTTTTATATGTCAGAATGGCCAGGTGTTTCGATGACATTATTCTGAAAATCAGACTTTAAAGCAGGAATTCACTGACATAAAGGATGAGGACGTCTGTCTCAGGCCTATCAAGGAGCCGGGACACCCCAAATGGATTAAAGTGAAATGAGAAAATGGAAATACGAAAAATACAAATGCATAAGTCTTCAGCACCAAATGAGCTATCATGTTTAAAATGCTCCACCAATACTGTTTTACAGGAGGAAGACTTTAAACAGCATTTCTTTTGCAAGATTCTCTCATATTTTACTCTATAAAAACTACATAACTTTTCAATACGTTTTTATTTGTTTGTATTATTTCACCTAACCCTTTTATATATAAGAAAATAGATGTAAAAAAAATGCTACAAACAGCACCAGCATTAAAAAAATGCTAAACCCTATCGTGCTTTCTCTCAAACAGCAAACTGTGAACGTCCACAAGGAAAAATAAAATATGGAAGTTTCCCAGAATGCATTTCTCGGCAACCGGTGGCAGTAAAGCTGACCAAAGCTGTTTTAATTCTCACTTTAGTGTTGTTGAAACATCATTTTATTAAGTTTGAACTTTTTGTATGCAATAATATTTATATCCTTAATAAGCGATTATCTTGTTTGTACATTTGTTCTGACGTTTTCGGAGATGCGAAGAGCCACCTGTGGGACCAGCTCTCCGGGACTTCTCCGAAACAGCAGCCCGTTTCCTGATGCGATGGGCCGGTCAAACGTCGTCGTCATTTGCCGGTGTGGAAAACCGGAGGTTCGCTCAGGCATTGGGCACTTGCGCACGCGCACTGTACACAAAAGACTCTACCAATCTGTCAGTCTCTCTCTCTCTCTCACTCACACACAAGTACGAAATACTTACTGTTATTAAAAATGCAAAATATTGGAAAATATTTAATTTTACTTTAATAACGTAAGTCAGTGTGTGTGTGTGTTTATAGCAAAACACGTAGTCAAATAGGATAAATTAGTAAGAATGGTATATTTCTTTTTGATTCATTCATGAAGCTAGTTGAAGATGCTTTCAGTGATCTTCTTTGACATAATCAGTACACTCCTACTCTCTGTAGCTTACTGTAAAGATGAATAGAAGAAGAGTAAGAGTTCTGTGTTACTAATTTAATGAATAAAATGGACTTAAAATCGTATACTCTTTGTGCTTCCCATGAAAAATTATCTGATATGGTGCAGTTGTTGCTTGGAGTGGACAAAGGGTACTAGACATTCAGCTTCATGAATAAAAAAAAACACTCTCACACCAGTGCTTTGATCGGACACTCAGACTCAGAGGTGCACACTGCAGACACTTTAACCTCAGCCTCCCACAAACGTCCGTCTCCACTCTGTTATTATACCGTCCGTGACAGGACTTTTTGATTACACACAATCCACAGCTCACATCTATGTCAAGTAAGAAAACCAGAGATGCAACACAAGAAAAGCAAAAAGGAAAAAACAGGTTCACTTAGATATATTTTATTTCAACTGTTGCCTGACAGTTTAGAAACGCGTATAAGAGACTCTAACTCTGATAGAGTGTTTACAAATGTTATTATACATCCACCATTCTCCAAACCGCTTATTCCCAACGGGTTCCCGGGGGAGGGAGGGGGGGCCTATCCGTGTTATTATACAATCACAGAGAAATGCTTTTGACTTGCATCTTCAAGACAGGCTGCAGCAGATATTCTTTTATAAAAAAAAATCTAGAGACAACATTAGCCAGAGAGCTCAACCATTTTGTTCCTTCACAAAAAAACAAATAAAAACAAAGAAGGATTCAGGTTCCAACATCAACAGCTCCACGATTTTACAAAGGAGTGAACAACGCCAACAGATTGTTGCTTTCAAAAGTACCCTGGCAAAGTCAAAAGTGAGACTAACATGTATCCAGAAGAAAGCACCTATTGTTGCAGTTTATCTCAGAACAGGAAAAACATACAAGGCACAAAGTCTCATAAAAGGAAAAGTTAATCCTCTAAACTTTTTTTTTCCTGATGATTATTGTTCATTTAGAAAAATATTTCATGCAAACCTTCAACAGTGTTCATTTATTAAAAAAAAAAAAAAAAACAAAAAAAAAAATTCTGTGATTGAAACTTTTCATTACAAAACCAACACTCAACATGAATGGCAGCCTGTGCTTTTTAAAAATCTCCTATTTTATAAATATTAGCTCTTGGCTTAAAGAAAACAACAACAACAACAACAAAAAAGTTAATGTTGCTCTTTAACCATTTAAAAAAAATCTGGCTAAACAGGAAAAAATGAACTTTTTTTTCTCTTAAAGTATCTACAAAATTCATTACATTTCCAGTTGTCTCCAGGATAATGTTTTCAAACCATGCTGTGGTTATTTTTAAATGTAACATCTCTTATCCAGAGAGATGAATCTAATAAATGGAATACCAACTTCCGGTTTCCAGGTTAAAGCCTGTTTTTCACAGTTAAATCCCACGTTGTAACTAGAATTCGGACTCATAAGAAAACTTGTTTCAAATTTCTTGGTCGGCCCACACAGACAGGCAGAATCCGAATGAGAGTGCACGTTTTTTTCTTGTAATTCCTTCACCCGAAAACACGAAAAACATGTTTTGAGAACCGCTCCCCGACTTTGAACTTCCGATGGCTTCCAACTGCCCGCATAGTTGGTCGCACTTCCACACGCGTGCTTCTGGACTTGACCGGTGACTTTCAGCTAACATCTCGGACCTCAGCTGAGCATCAGAAGCTGCTTCTGGTTCAGTTTTTTTTTCTTTATCCTTGACAAAGTGATTCTTCTGCTTTGAGTAAAAGGCATCCTAGTCCACCCGGAGTCCCTCCAGAGCGGGGAACCCTGATGGGAGGTCAATCGTGGCCTTTGGGTTTTCTGTGGACTGACTCGAGGGCTGCAGTGCGACCCTGTTGTTTATTTTATCTTTTTAAAAGTGACTATTGCTCAAGAATCATTGCCTCTTGGAAGGCTTCAATCCACCTAAATAAAATACAAAAAACATAATAATTAGCTGTGACTAAAAAAAGAAAAAGAAAGAAAGTTTGATTAAATTAAAGGTGATTTCTATTATTCTTTTCCATTTTGGCGTCTGTGTAAGAACCAGCTCATCTCTAAGTGAGATGGTGTCCGTCCCTTTGTGTTTCAATGAAATGTTGTGCTTTTTCAGGCTGGACAAAGTACTAGAGGCAAGAGTGACCAAAACAGATAAAATACTGATATTAAAAGTGAAAGATACACCTATTACAGCTAATATAAAGCTCTTCCCACTTTTCGTAAAAAATTCAAAACAAATGAAAACAGGTACTTTAGCTTTCTGTAAATAAAACGCTCCCCCGACTCTCCCCATTAAAGGGCAAAAATGAAGTGGAATCCATCTATTGTCATCACATAAGATGGTGTATTTAACAGAAAAGTGTGAGTTGAATAAAGATTAAATGAACCTGAAAAAGAAGCCTTTTTGTGTTCTATTCCTGGACTGTTTGGATAAACTTTTGTGGGAAAGTGAAAAGTGGAAAAAAATAGACAAGATAAAAGAGGTCCTCGCTTCAAAATCGAACCGCTATGTATTTGTTTGTCTCACGTACCTCTGTGCAGTGGGGATGTCGTCAGCTCTGAAGATGTAAAACAGTGTGTTTTTGTGATACAGCTTGAACTGCAGCTTCTGAGCCGGCCCGTTCTTCTCCTCTCTCAGGAAGAAACCCAGCAAGGGTTGGCTCTCCAACGCCGCCACGTCCTGTGCGGAGAGATAGCCGTTTGGTTAAAAAACAGAAAGAAGGAACCCATTTTTTTTTTAAAAACCAGAGTAAAACAGCAACGATCCCATTTGAGATTGGACCAGTACCTCGCTGGCGGCGTAGGTGTACAGGACTTTATTTTTGATGACAAACCATAGCCTCTTCCACTGCTTTTTGTTGCCCTTTGACCTGTTTAGGTAGCCGCTCATAGAGGAGTTCTCCGTGTTGGCGGACACCTAGATAGAAAAGGAAAATAAACAAACGGCACGAGAGAAAGAAAGCCATAAATGACGAGTTTAAACAAAGGCTGAAACACGCACCTCTTTTAGTGCAGACGGAATCTTTTTCTGCTTCCTGGTGAAGGAAAAAGCTCCAGATTTGATCGGGGACACGGATGTGGAAGCACAGCGGTCACCTAAGGGATGAAAAAAAAACAATAAATATAAATATACATTTCTATTTATAGATAAATAGACAAGAACATAAAAGGTAGGTCAAAAGTGAATAAGGTTTATAACATTTTTTTAAAAACCATTACAAAAACAGATGTAATAAATCTCCACAGTCCACTTTTTAGTGTCTTCATGTCTAACTACTTGGAATGAATCCGGAACAACGGATCACTCACTGTTCTCCTGGAGTTTGGCAAAGCAGTGATCGCACACCCGGGCCGGCTGGTTCTTCAGGTACTCCAGGTAGTACTTATTGGCCGAGCACGCCTGACAGACCACCTGTGAAACGACAGCGGTGATGAGACGGGTGTTTTTCCCGGCCCTGGGGTGGTGGTGGGGGGCTGGGCGGCGCAGACCTTCCCGCAGGCGCGGCAGTGGTGCCTCCTCCAGGTGAGCGTGAACTCGCAGGTGCAGATCATGCACATGGTGGCCCTCAGGTCCGGGATCCAGATGGGAGCTTTGGAGCCCAGGGGAGCCCCGCTGTCGACCGCGCCCTCCGCCTGGCGGGGGGGAGATTTCCAATTGACCCTGAACGCCCCCCGTGGAGCCTCTCTCTCTCTCTCTCTTTTTTTTTTCTTTCTTACCTCTTCCTGACTTCGGCTGGATATGAAGGTGATTTTCTTCTTTGTGTAGTCGTCGATGGCCTTGGCGATGGCCTCCAGCCACTCGTCTCTCTCCGTGGCCGAGCTGCCAAACACAAGAGCGCGCCGTTACTCGCAGCAGCTCCCGGCCGAGCCCAGCGCTGGGCCTCAAGACGGGGACGGGGCACCCACCTGGCAGACAGGATGAAGGAGCGCTCCACGCTCTCGATGTTCAGCTCGTTCTGATAGGCCTCTTGGCTGGGCTTACTCACCTGGGTGATCAAAGATTCATGTTGAAAACAACGTGAAATATGTCAACAAAAATGTGAACTGATGAAAAACAGTTCAGAAAAACGTGATGACTGACCTTCATACCAGCCAGAGACAGCACACTGTTGAGTTTATACTGGCCAGACTGAACCGGAGTGGTGTACATGAGTGCATCGTTAAACTGGAAAGACCAAGAAAAACACACAGCAGGCCTTTATATAGGCAAAAAAGGTCATTTTGAAAATCTACAAATGTACTATTTTCTTTTTTTTCTTCTCATTTATGGGGAGATTTTTCAGACTCATCAAAGCAAAAACTTTGGTTTTAGCATAAAGAATCCATTTTAAAGGAATATTGAGATCTCTTTTTTTTTTTGCCAGGTGATAAGTACAGCTGAGCATCGCATTCCAGACTGCTTTCTCTCCGCCATGAGAACAAAAAACTGTGTTTTCTTTTCTCACCAGAAAGAACATGCGCGGCTGCATCACTTTCCTGGACAGTTTCATCAGAGTGCCCTCCTTCAGGAAAACCTGCAAACAACGAACAGGCTGGCTTTCACTAGGCTGCGTTCGGAATCACCGTCATTGTCCAGGACGGGTGATGACAAAAAACGAACGGGGAGAGGATAACGCCTGTACAGGAGAATTTCGGACGTACTCTGCCTGGCTGAACGATCTCATGGTGACCGTTGAGGCTGTACTGGATATGCATCAGCTTCTGAAAGTTATCCTAAGGGGGAAAAAAATTAAATAAAATCAACAACAGTGAGGAGCACCGCCAAGGCAAAAGCAGAGGCTTCAAACTGAATCAGGCCCTTACCCCCTGCTTCATAATGTCGTTTGCGTGGTTGGCCACTTCCTTCACTATGCCGAGGGCAGCTGCAGATGGAGAAAAGACATCTCATTACTGTTTGGGACACTTTCGACAAGAGAAAGTCCCATCGACAAGGAGGTGGGCTCCTCCACTCACCTTGAGTGTCTTTATAGTCTTCAGAGTCCTCTGGAAGGTTCTTCAGATAGTCTGTGAACGAGGAAAAAGGCTTAAACCCAAACCCTTATTTTATTTTATTCTTTTCTTTTTTCCCCCAATTGACTGTATAGGCTGGGCGTTAGTCTTTAGGGAGAGCCAATTAAGACAAGATTTGTTCACATTATTGCCCCCGAGACCACAGTCCGAGGTCACAGCGACCGGCTGCTGTCCAAACTGTTTTGTGACTTTTTATAGCAGGTTTATAAATCTCACTTTGCGCGAGTAAAAATTGTGCTTTTCAATTTTTTTCTTGGATATTCAATCAGTGACTAAAGAGTTATTCTATGAGGAAATGGAGGCAGATGACCATGTTTCTCCTGGAGAGCAGGTCATTTTCATTTGAGCTCTTTTGCTTGTTCATTACGAAAAGGAACACCAGTCAGTAAAGTAATGGATGCTTTAAAAAAATATTTTGTGCAAACTTTTCCATAAGAAATGTGTATATAATATGTGGAAAGAATAATTGATGAATAACTTTAGCTTCTGATGGACGTATAATGTTTATTATTATGTATTTTAGAACAACACAAGACTTTTCCTTAAATCTTTAGGGACGAGCCATGTGCAAATAAAAAAAAGCCTTTTTTCTATCTTTCATAATTTAAGGAGCTTTCTATGAGAGTCATGGTGTTTAATGTGCTGACAGACACTTCTTGTCTTCCTCAAAATATCCCAAATAACAAGCATCTCCAAAAGATTCAACAGTTTTCCCCCCCCTTTTTTTCTCCTTTCCACCGGGTGGCGCTGTGCTACATCCTCCACAAACCCTCCTCCGTCCGCCGCAGCCAAAACGGTGAGGCCTGACACCGGGCCAAGTTTTTCCTTTGCGCGTTGCCAGTAAAATCGGAGCCTTGAGTGGGTGACCCGGAGGGGGGGGGCAGGCCGGTAGTTACCTGTGAGCAGCAGCTGGTACTGAGGGATCCGCTGCACAGGTTTCAGCAGGTAGTGCTTCAAGGCCAGGCTGGCACATCTCGGACTCATCTGAGACAAACAAAACCACAACATAAACAAAAAACAAGCGCGCGGGATGTTTAGACACGCAGGTGTACGCACAGACACAAACACACACACACACACAGGCCAGCAGCCACTTGCTCGTCTGTGGTGCATTTTTGATGGGTGGAGATAAAACCGCTTAAGACGCTTTAGCTTTCTGTTACTAAGATGCTGTGAAAATCCCATTTCTCACATGGCAAACCTCAATAGGAGTCAAAGCTGGAGAGATTTCTAAAGAAAGAAACTCGAAAGCTTACAGGTTTTTAAAAAAACAACAACAGCAAAATTCTCCTCAGGTGATAACGACATCTAAGCGTCTTTTTAAAAACGGGTTCCGCTGAAGGAACTCTACCTCGAACTCGCGGACGACGGCGGCGAAGGCGGGGTTTTTCCGGCACTGCTCGTCCAGCAGAGCCACGTTGTTGTCGAACTGCCGGATGTAGGTGGAGTACATCTTCAGGTAGGGACCCTTCTGGACGAATATGTCCGACAGCCTCTGGTGGTCGCTCCTGTAACCGGACGGACCAAAGCAGACCCCTCCCCGGCCTCAGTCCATAAACCGGCACTTTTGGGACTCTTCATTCTTTAAGTTACACAAGATTAAATAAAGGATCGTTCCAAAATTATATTTTTCCTAATTTTGAGTTCTCTAAGTCAAATGGAAGGCCTCCCATGGGTATGTTCATCAAAAAAACAAAACAGATACAGAGCTGAGCCATAAGAAATGCCATCTCCCTGCTTTAAGACGTTTTGTTGTAAAATGCTTGTAAATTAAACTAATTCAACTCATTTACTTTGACATCTGATTATATAAACAGCCAAACGCTTCAAGCTTGCTTTGGTCAATGGGATTGTTTGTTGTAGGATTTGATCCTTTCGGAATCAGTCGCCAATTGAAATCCTCATCAGTGGCAGTAAAGGGAGAGGTGAGCCCCTCACTTGCTACTGTTTTCATACTTGCTTATCATTTCTTTTCCAATGTGACTTTCTTCTGGGCAGGGGGAGTAAAAACCGGCCTTTTTTTTTTGTTTTTTTAACACAAAAAACAGAAGCCTCAAATCCTTCTGTCTTGCAATACATGATGCAGATTTTCCTTCCAAAACGCAGTTTTAACAGGGTAAAAGTCATGCTATATCCTAACGTAAGAAGCTAAACACACCCTCGTGTAACAGTAATAACAAAACAAGGTCTTTCTCTACCAGTGTGCTACTCTCTCCTCCAGCTCTCTCAGCAGGTCTTTGTTGAGCTGGTACAGCTGAGGCAGGTAATACAGGATCTGACTGAGGATCCGCTCCTCCACCACTGGCTTCCCATTCTGACGAGTTGCCTTGGCAACGGCATCCCGAAAGTCCTGAGGAGACAGGGACTCATACATAAATACACATATTTACATATCTCTCTCAGTTATATATATATATATATATATATATATGTATATAAAAAACATATACCGCAGGTCCTTCTTCCCTACTGCGGTTAGAATATACGTACATCCCCTGCACTACCTGATCCATTATGTTAGCCTCAGTAGTAAATTGGTCAATTGGTAATTTGGTGTTCAATTCATTTGAAAATTTTAATAATCATATTATTATTTTTTTTAATAACTCCCAATTGTAAAGTACTTTTATTTATTTTGACCTCCACTGTGCTTGTGCTTTTTCCCTTTTTTCTGCTTCGATTCTATTCTCTCTCTCTCTTTCTCTCTCTCTCTCTCTCTCTCTCATTCCTCTATCTATATATATATACACAAACACACACATATACAGTGGGGGAAATAAGTATTTGACCCCTTGCTGATTTTGCAGGTTTGCCCACTTACAAAGACTGCAACCATCTAAAATTTTAATCATATGTACATTCTAACAGTGAGAGACAGAATCCCAAAGAAAATTCCAGAAATTCACATCATATGAATTTATAAAAATTGATAACCATCTGATGAGGAAAAACAAGTATTTGACCCCTTACCACACAGCAAGTATTCTGGCTCCTACAAGCCAGTTAGTCTTTCTTTAAGACACCCCCCCATTCCCAACCAATTATCTACATCAAATAAACCTGCATCACCTCGTTACCTGTATAAAAGACACGTGTCAACACCCAAACAACCAGCATCTAACATCACCACCATGTGCAAGACCGAAGAGCTTTCTACGGACATCAGGGACAAGATTGTTGATCTGCACAAGGCTGGGATGGGCTACAAGAGAATCGGAAAGCAACTTGGAGAGAAAAGATCAAGTGTCGGTGCAGTTATCAGGAAATGGAAGAAGCACCACACCACCGCCAACATCCCTCGGTCTGGGCCTCCACACAAGATCTCGCCTCGTGGGGTGTCCCTGATCATGTGAACGGTGAGGAATCATCCCAAATCCACAAGGGGGGAACTGTTGAATCAACTGAAGGCAGCTGGGACCACAATTACAAAAGAAACGGTTGGTAACACACTACGCCGTCATGGAATGAAATCCTGCTGTGCACGCAAGGTCCCCCTGCTCAAGAAGAAACATGTACAGGCCCGCATGAAGTTCGCCATTCACCACCTGGACGACTCAGAAGAGGCCTGGAAGAAGGTAATGTGGTCGGATGAGACCAAAATAGAACTTTTTGGTCTCAACTCAACTCGTCGTGTTTGGAGGGCAAAGAACACCGAGTACAACCCAAAGATAACCATCCCCACCGTCAAGCATGGTGGTGGCAACATCATGCTTTGGGGGTGCTTTTCAGCCAAGGGGACGGGACAACTCCATCGTATTGAGGGGAGGATGGACGGGGCTATGTATCGTGGAATTCTGGACCAACATCTCCTTCCCTCAGTGAGAGAGCTGAAGATGGGTTGAGGATGGGTGTTTCAGCACGACAACAAACCTAAGCACACCGCCAAAGCAACAAAAGAGTGGCTGGAGAAGAAGCACATCAAGGTTCTGGAGTGGCCTAGCCAGTCTCCAGACCTGAATCCAATTGAAAATCTTTGGAGGGAGCTTAAAATTCGAGTTGCCAGGCGACAACCTCGGAACCTGAAGGATTTTGAGGCTATCTGCTGGGAGGAGTGGGCCAACATCCCTGCCGAAATGTGCACAAACCTTGTCACCAACTATAGAAACCGTTTGACATCTGTGCTGGCCAATAATGGCTTTTCTATAAAATATTAACATGCTGTTTGTCCAGGGGGTCAAATACTTATTTTTCCTCATCAGATGGTTATCAATTTTTATAAATTCATATGATGTGATTTTCTGGAATTTTCTTTGGGATTCTGTCTCTCACTGTTAGAATGTACATATGATTAAAGTTATAGATCGTTGCATTCTTTCTAAGTGGGCAAACCTGCAAAATCAGCAAGGGGTCAAATACTTATTTCCCCCACTGTATGTCCTTAAGTTTAAAAAAAAAAAGCCACTATGTGCCGTGCATCTGAACAGGAACACCTGGTTATCACCTCATAAGCTGACCCCTCCTCCCCCCTGCCCCCCTCACGCCAGCTCATGTATCTCATGACAGGCCTGTGTCAGCACTTCCCATCTGTCCAGCGCGCCAACACACACATGCACCTGGAAGGAAGAGGGGAGGCCTGGCAGGATCCCCATTTCCGGGTTGACTTGTGCTTTCACTCTTGACCAAAAGCGGCTAAATGTCCACGGCTTGGGGAGCTGACATCCCAAGGCATAAACAAAGGCTTTCACCTAGAAACCTGACAACTGGAGCAAAAAAGTCTTTTCAGGCCTCTCCAGTCCGACAGATAAACCGAGAAACCCAAATCTCAAAGGTTCACAAGACAAAGACCAACGTCAGCTGCAAATGAACCTAAATGCACAGGAAAAAAAAGCATTGGCTTGAAATCTTTCCACAAGTGTGGGGTAACGGCTTGCCATCCCGAACACCTTCCTGCACACACACGCACACACACACACACACACACACACACACGGACATGCACACAGACTAAGAGGATTATGGAAGGCATGCGTGTGGCTGGAGGTGGACTGCGCGGCCTGAGGAAGCAGCTGTGGCGTAGCTCGGCCGTCCAGAGAGGGAAGAATGCGATCTGCCCTCTACTGCTGGACAGATCTGCCCCCCCCCCCACCCCCCCCCGGCCTGTCCCCCCAAGGCAGAGTGTCTACAAACTCTGCCAAAGGCAAAGTCTTGAGCGCGCCGTGCAGGTGAACCCCGGACCCCCCCCATCACAGCTCGGGAGTACACGGGAGCAAACGGATGCCTGTCAAAGCTTCGACCTGCAAAGGAACAGCTGAGAACCTCCTGAGCTGACAGCTGTTTAGACAACTGGCCGGCTAACAGAGGAGAAACGGACAGGACTTTTAAAACAATCCATATTTTGAAGCAGAAGTGATAAACACGCCGACACTGAAGAATTTGTTGCTGCTCTATCTCATCCGTGACTTAGAAATGGACATTCCTGGTTTAAAAGCAAAATAGGTCTCCACTATAGTGACCGAATCAATGAGGTAAAAAAAAAAAAAGATTTTAAAAAAAGGAACAAATTCAAAAGCACAAAAAAAGCTTAAATGAAATTCTTTACTATTTTAAGGATAAAAGAATTTCTCTCCGACTTAGTTGGAATATTTCAAGTGATGCTATATTTACACAGAGTGGGCAATAAACCTTTATTTATGAGCAGAGTGGCGACATTGTTTGCATGCTCTTCACCTAAGAAGCCCCACATGAACTGTGCCTTGTGCCCCGATGTGGTCACAAAAAGCGGTCACGTGCTTTTTCTTTTTTCAAACCATTTTTGCTTTTTTTGTCTAAATGATGACTGAGTAAATGAAAGTAATCTAGAAATAAATAAAAAATCCAGATCTGGCTCCACTTGAACTATTAGATGGAAGAGAGGATCCCAGTTAACACAAACCCATTTGGAGTCATTGTGTTTATCTTGAATAGAGCCACTGAACGTCTCGGCAAGAGTGGAAATGATCTCCATGGCCACCCTCATGTTTTCGAAGAAGGGCAAGGTTAGTGGAATGTATCCAAAAAGAAACTGAAGCTGTTACAAAAAACTTTCCAGTTTCAAGCATCATCCGTGTGTGTGTATTTATATGTGTGTGTCTAACTGCACAGATTACAGCACCACGCCTCTTTCTTATATTCAAACAGCACTTAAGAAGGGAAACCATCAGCGTAGAGTCTGAGAAAAAAAAAGTTTTGATCACCGCCCGAAACGCGTTTACAGGAAAATCAGGAAAATGCACATCGAATGAAATCATCCGGAAAAAGAAGCCACTTACTATATGCAGGAGTTTCAGGACGTCCACAAACCTGAGAGTTTAAAAAAAAGGAAAAGAGGAGTTTTAAGAAGGCCTGGTGGGCGTCTGGTAGAGCTGGGAGGGGCCGCCGGGTCGCCACTCACACTTTCTCCGAGCTCATGATTTCCTGGGCGATGTGCACCACCTTCTTCCTCTTCATCTCGTCCTCCTGCTGCGAGAGCACAAACACAAACAGTCACGCGTGGCCGAGGAAACAAAGAGAGAAAGCGTGCGGACCCCCGCGGGCAGCTTGGGGGGGGGGGGGCTCCCTCACAGGCTCGCTGCAAATCACCATGGTCCACGCCGGACGCCGTCTACCACTGTCGGCTTTCTTTCTTTAAACAACGGCCCCTGTGGCGCCCTAAAGCAGGGCCCGACCCCCCCCACCCCATCTGTCCCCTCTCCGCCAGTCAGTCTCTATGCGGGTGCTGGATGGGAATGGGGCGGGCCCCTTCGGAGACTTAATTTGGACAGCGGCCTTGGCCCCCCGCTCGACCGGGGGTAGGGGGGGGGGGGCTATGAGGGGCATCGGACGCAAGGCGTTGACAGCATCGTGAAGAGGGTCACACAGGACAGAGGAACAACAAATAAAAATAAAAAAACCTACAGCCATTGAGGGAGCTATTCCTGAACCCGTGGCCCTTCTGTGTTTGCTCGTCCCCTCCTCCCCCCTTTTCATCACACACACCCACTTCAAAAGGGCTGTGACTGACGGACAGACAGACAGACAGACACCCAACAGGCTGCATGTGTGGACACAGTCTCCTGTGGCTGGAGTGACTGTTTGGTGACTGATAAGAGCCGTCGGTTGGGACCTGTACGTGATCTGTCAGTTTCACACACACACACCTGCACGCACACAGTGCTCTGTCTTTTTTGTTTTTTTCCCCATTGGAAGTGCCAATCCGCATAATTTGGACTCTTTATATCCTTGGCGTGGATAAATACACGTTGCTGAGCGCCTTTTTCCAAACTGATTTTTAGGGGAAATAAAAAACTGGCACGCAAGGGGCAAAACAAGCCAACATCTGTCAAAATGTATATATCTAAAATGTGTGTGTGTGCTTTTTTTTTTGTTCAGATGAAAGAAATTTCACTAACTAGCTGACAGTTTGAATACCTTTAGAGCACAAAAACTGTGATGTAACCTGTCAAAAAAGGGGCTTGTTTGTGCTGTTATCCTGTTGTGCTTCTCTATCCATTGGACTAATTGAACAAAAACCAAAAAAACAACAACTTTGTGCTAATAAAATCTCTACCCGTAGTCCTCTGGAAATAGGTGAAAACGTGTTTGTTAGAAGTGGGCTCCATGATTTGCTTCTGTTCCCTCAATACCGAATGAATGAAAGAGAAAATAACAGCATTTTTTTCTACCAGATGGATGAAACTTCCAATTGACCGACAACCAAAATATTGAATGGTCGCAGCCTCCGTGCTAAAGAAACGGATTTCACACCATTTTGGTCCCGATAAAACATTTTACACCCCCACTTTTTTTGTTTTACATCAAAGGGAGGTGGAATTAATAGTTTTAAAAAAAACAACTTCAGACTGGCTGCATCGACAGGATGCAATTATTGTCACGTTCTGCATCCACACTTAGCAAACACGAGCAGATGAAACATCTGTCTGTCGTCAGATCGCGATCGCGTTTTCCAGGAGCACACACCTCTTTACAGGGGTGATGGACGATGACGGACTGTTTTCATTTAATTTATGCCGCCGTGCACATGGCCGTGCACGTGGCTGGTCACTGGCAGCGATCGGGCAAATTCAGTCCCGATTGAGTCTACTGGATCTTTTAGTTTAATTTCTTTTAGCGTAGTTTAGTTCTATACTTGTAGAACCGGGTTTGCATTTAAAGTTTCAAGCTAAATAACAAGCTGAGGCTACATCATGGAATCGGATATCGACGTGGGCCTTTGGGTTTGCGTGGGCGAGGCCTTTATCCGGCCTGGCTGATCTAAGTAGAGCTCACTTCATACAAAACGCATCGCATTTTACAATCCAACGTTAGGTTTGTTGGGGGACTCTTCATGAGTCATCGTTAAAAACTGTTACTGAGGAGAGAAATTTATTCCCCCCCATCCCTGTTACTGCATACAGTATCTGTGTACATGTGGAGCCCTTTCAGCTGTTTCTGTGAGGGAAAAACGTGGAGAAATAATACCATTTTACCGGGGAAGCTGAGAGCATTTAACTGATGGCAGGCAGTCATCAGGCATTGGCAAACGTTGGTGATTTAAAGGTCTACCTAATGGCTTTACGAGTCCACGGCGGGTGGGTGGATCTCGGATCGCGGTTACCTGTCTGTCTGCCTCGTCCAGGTGCTCCTTGCTGGAGGTGGAGCTGTTGTCCTCTTCGTCGGAACTGTGCATCTCCTCCTCCTCTTCAGAGTGGACATCCTGCCTTAGCCAGCCGCTGCAAGCCGAAAACACAGGGGAAGGGGAGAGGATGGGGCTGGGTTTAGCTTTCAGAGACAAAGAATGTTGATATATATATATGTATATATGAAGGAGAGGCCGGGCAGGGCTGCAGAGGGCCGTGCGTGTGTGTCCACAAAAACAGTCCCTGGATAAATAAAGATGAAACCAGGCTTGTGCAACATGAAGGATTGGTTTGCACGAAAAAAAAACAAAACCGGCTCACGGAAGTCTGCGAGTCAGTGGAGAGGCTGAGGCGCTTTTCGGACGTTGCGTGTGTCGATGGGTGCGAGTCAAAAAAGCCCCAGACGGGAGGCAGAGGAGGAGAAGGCGGTTCAGAGCCACGAAAAGACAAAAAGCCGCCCCAGGGCCAACACTTAAATGGACTGAAAGTGTCCAAAAGAAGATGAAAGGAGCCCCCGAAAAGGTGGTAGATGGGTTAGGTGATTGGTCAGGGCGTCTGTTGATCGGGCTTTGGTGCAAAACTGTGCTGCTGCCGCCTGGCCTATTTTTAGCCGTTATCTTTATTCTGGCTGGACGATGCAAACCACCTTCAAACCGCCACCGCGGTTGGAAAAACCCACACGGTGCCAGAGGTGCAAAATAAAATAAAAACTGATGAAACCACAAGAAAGCAAGCACGTCTCCTCGCTTAAAAAGTGACTCGAGTCGGTCTTCTTAGTTTCTAAACATTTACAGGCATAACTTTGACGGTCAGAGTCAGTAAAAACCAGACTTCCTTATGACTGAATCACTTTTCGGTGGCATTTTGTAGATCTCCACACGTAATCCATCAATAATAAAAATAATATTCAACTAAATAAATACAGAATTTGAGATGCCAGGAGGTGATAGGTGCGTCAGCTCTGGCGCAGATGGGCAAACCTGTATGTCTCCACCCGGGCGTCTTTTGTCGGGCGTTCCGCTTGCAGCCAAGCGGCGGCTTGGGGCTCTTCCCAGGAACGCGGCTGCCTGCCGGGTTTGGGAGCAAGCAGCGACACGCGCTGGTGTCGCTAGTGTTTTGGTCCGGCTCCCAGAGGCTCTCCTGCCGTGTCTGATTTCAGGGCGATGGGTCCGAAAAGGAGAAGCAGAAGTGTCTCCATTTCATCCCCCCCACCCCATCCCTCTGGTGTAGAGCCGTAAAAGAAATGGGAACGGTTGGCTGTTGATAGAGAAAGGTAGCGGGGACTCCAGAAATTCCCACATTGCCTCTCAGGCTTCTGCGGCAGCTCACTCTCCATCGTTGTTTTTTCTTACGAGGCTCCTTTATCTTAAAAAAAGTTGCACCCTCTCCTTTCCCTTTTTTATTTTTTTTAAACACTCAGCTTCTTTGTCCCTTGTGCTCCCCTTTGTGGCCGAGTTCTCCGGCATACTGGGTCAGGCACAGAGCGCCACTTGTTTACGGCCCGGGGGCTACTTACATAAACTCAACGGGCTCGGACGCCTGGGAAACGCCACCGATTCGCTCTCCTGCCTCTTTTCTGGGCTCTGCCTGCCGGATGGAATTAAGACGCTGGGCACATCTTGCGTTGTTTCACAGCGTCTGGGGTTTCCGGAAGGAGCCATGCCTATGAATGCTGCTGGACGTCCAGCGCTTCACTCGGATTTTTCTAGAACCTAGAGGGCCTTTTTTTCCCCCCCTCCCAGGGCTGCTCAGTGTCTTGATGGTAACAGATTAAAGCTCCAGGACAGAAAACTGCTTCTGGAATAACAATTATTGAGACCGACAAAAGAGTCAAATCAGAGTTAGTAAAGACTCTAAAAGCAAAGGAGGCCGCTGATGTCATCTTGAGCGTCCTTATTGTGTTTACTGGCTTAGTTGGTGGAGTAAATGAATTGACATGTCATTGTTTATTCAATTAAATAATCATCTGCTTGAGCCCTGTTTAAAAATGCCTACTGCAATGTTTGACTTTTGCAAGTGAAGGGATTAAAAAAAAAACCTGCAAAGATCTCCATGTAAAAGCAACACCACGAAGTCGGTGAACAAATTAACGATTCCAGACCTGCAGCGACTTGAAACTTGCTTATGCCAGAGGAGGTTTTCTCTTAATTAATTCAGAAATTGCTGATCAACCGGCAATAAAGCCCTCAACCGCATCCCCTGAACACATCTTCGATTTACGTCCGTTAATGTTTATAGGACATTCTTAAAGTGGAGCCGTTTCATAACCGAATTCAATAGGTGTAAGACAAAAACAAACAAACAAACAAACAAACAAACAAAAAAAAACAAAAAAAATGAATGAATGAGAATAAACCCTGGAGACAGATTTTCTCACAGACCTGCTGCAAAAGAGGAGAAAGAAAAGAACGAAGAAAAAGCCAGAAGAGATGGGGTTAAGAAGAGGTTAAGAAGAGGCTAAACCCGGCGTGGGGGCGGCGGGGCTGCTGGGGAGGAGGAGGAGGAGGAGGAGGAGACCGGTGGTTGCTGGAGGTTTATTTTCCCTGTTCTGGAGAGCCGTGTGGCGTTTCTGCGATTCTCAGACATTTCCTGCCCTGGCCACTGAAAATAACCCACAGGAAAACAGGCCGAGCGGCCGCACATCAGTGCTCTATTCAAAGGGCCTGCCCGCTGCCTCAGAGGTGGACTTTGGCACTCCCAAAAAAACAATAACAACAAAAAAAAGAAACAAAAAAAGGGACAGCTCGTGTCACCTGTTCAACCTGCCCCAGAGGGGTAGGGGGTGTGGGGGGGTGTGGGGTGTCCCAAAGTGGAATCCCCAGCCTACATCAACCTTTCAGACCCTGTTTTTTTTCCAAATGGCAAATTCAGAGGCACCCTATTGTTAAAGCTACACAAAAGCTCCCACGCTACTCTGTTGTGTTACTTCAGAAAAGCTGAAGTGTTTCTTCAAACCTCCCCCGATACTTCAGATTCTAAATCGGGCTCGAACACAGAATCAGCCTACCTCTCGTACTCGTGGTCCTGCGATCTGCGGTAGGGGTCCTGCACCTCGTAGATGTCCGAGTCGGGGGCCAGGGGGTCGTGGGGCCAGCCCGGCCGGGCGCTGTGAAACGGCAGGTTCATGTACTCGGGGATCTCCTCGTAGAGCGGCACGTTCTCGTACTCCACCTCCTCCCCGGGGAGGTCGGCCTCCCCGACGCAGCTGCTGGGCCGCTCCAGGCTCCGCTCCCCCCCGTCGGACTCGGCGCTGGTGCAGTCCAGGGACTGCCCCCCCTTGGCCAGCAGCTTTGGCAGCATCCGCACCGACAGCCGCAGCTCCAGCAGCTTGCGGAAGGACAGGCTCCTCTTCTGGGGGCCGTCCCGGGTGGCCAGGTCGGCGGCGGAGAAGGACTGGGCCCGCTGCTTGCCCCCCAGCGCCGGCGCCCGGCTCTTGGGGGGCACGCTGCTCCGGGTGGACACCTGCCGGCTGAAGAAGGTGGCGCAGGGCCGGGCGAAGCGCCAGGCGCTCTTCTCCTGGGGGGGCGCGGGCAGCTCCCTCATGGGCGTGCCGCCGGCGTGGGGCGGCGCCGGGGGGCAGACGGAGGGCGGCGGGGGCGGCGCCGGCATGCTGTGCCTCTGGGGCTTGCGGGGGGGCGCCTTCGGGGAGCGCTGGTCCTCGGCGGAGAGCGCCTTCCCGGCGTGGGCCAGCGGCGGGTGGCAGCCCAGCTTGATCTGCTTGGGGAGGCTGTGGCTGACGGGGTAGCGCTCGAAGTCGCCGTAGCCGTCCTCCTCGTCCGGCTCCGCCCTCCGCGCCGCCTCCTCCGCCGCCGCTTTGCCCGGACGCGCCGGCTCGGGCTGCGCCAGCAGGTCCAGGGAGTGGGAGTTGTTCTTGTTCAGGCAGGGGGGGGCGTGGACGGTTCTGTGTAAACGGGGCGAGAGGGAGGTCTGGCGGGGAGGGGGAGGGGGCGCGTCGGCCTCTTCAGCCTCCTTGTCCCCGTCGCCGCCCGCCTCTGAGCCCCTCAGGGTGGCCGGCTCGTCCCCCGCCGTCCGTCCGCCCTCCGGACCGAGGGAGGGGCCGGCCGGGCCGGGCTCCCCCTCCGCTCCCTGCCCTTCCCGCCCCTGCGTCGGTTCCTCCGCCGCCTGCTCCGGGGCGCCGCCCTCCACGCCGTCCTGCCTCACCAACGCCGGCTTTTTCAATTTGCGCGGGTGGGGGACCGGCAGCGGCTTACTCGGGGCCGCGGGGACCTGAAGATCAGGGGGGGAGCCGTCGGGAGATGCTTCCCCCGCGGGGTCGCTTCTTTCTACCTGAGAGTGTTCGGACTGGGGAGGAGGGCCGTCGGACGAGACGCTGATGTTGCCTGCAACATCCCAGGCTGACCTGGAGTCTGTTAAACCTGCGCTCGGGGCCTCCGCGGGCACGGCGTTTTCCCGACGGGCGGCCTCCTCGGGCCCCGGCGCCTCCTTGCTCGCCGGCGCCCGGTCTGGGTGTCTCTGTCTTTGAGGTTTACCCCTGGGCCTCTTGCTGACCCGCTCGCCTTCGCCCCCGACGGCGGCTCCGCCCTCCTCCAGGTTCTCCCGGCTCTCCCGCGGCCCCGCTCCGGAGAGCCCGTTCCGCACCGGCCCCCCGGGCACGCCGGCCCCGGTCGGGGCCACGCTTCCGTTTTGGAGGGGGTGGCACCGCGGGCAGCCCTCCGGCCCGCAGGAGCAGGTGGGGATGATGTAATGCGATTCGTGCCGACTCCTCTCCGACCAAATCCCATTCTTGGAGTTGAGAAGAAGGAGGTCGTCGTCTAGAGGCTCCCGCTGCTCCTGAGACGGATGGAGGGGCTCGGCGGGTTTGGGCGGCGGGGGGGACACCGGGGGGGGGGAGGCCGTGGATTTGGGGATGCATGGTTTGGGCGCGACGGCCGGTTTGGCCCTCTTGAGGGTGGCCGGCGACGGCTGGGAGGCCGCCGACGACGGAGGGGCGGGGCCGGGCTTGGGGGCGACGGGCGGGGGGGAGGGTTTGGCCGGAGCTGGGAGTTTAGGTTTAGGAGCTAACGGAGGCTTCTTCACACCTGCACGAGAAAGGGGAGAAGAATTACAGCAGGGCAAGTACCTGGTGCGAGAGGACGGCTCACAGAGCACGCCTCACCCCACCCTCACCCTCACCCTTACCCCTGCCTCACCCCGGCCCGCACAGACAGCTGCAAGCAGGAGTTTAGGCTCGGGTCAAAAGGTCAACACAAGGGTCAGGGGCGGGTGGGGGGAACGAGTAATGTGAGAAATGTATTTAGAGAACCGAACGAGCTTTTAACTATTATTTATCATTGGCGTTTAGCCGACAGCCCAGTTCCGGATGGCGTCACGGCTGACTTGTGACAGCAAACGCACGGCCAAACAGGATAATTCAATTCCGATTCGCATCTAAACATACCCTCTCTCTTCCTCTTCAAAGAGCCAGGCATGTTTGGTATGCCTGGCCTACTGGCTTTTTTTTGTTTTTTTTTTCCAGGGCAGAAGAAAAAGTATGTGCTGTACAGAGGACTGATAAGTGTTTGCCCGTTATGTTCTCCCTCGTGCTCGGAAGAGGAGGCATCATCAGTTAAGATCTCTACTCTTCCTGACTGTTCCGGAATCTCACGGAATGCTTCCACCCTGTGCAGATGTCAGCCCAACTACAACTTGAAACATGTGTCAGGAACTTTATTCACTCAGTTACATTCGACCTGCCAGATCCCACTGGGAAATAACCTAGTTAAATAAAGGATCAAATTTAAAATAAAATAAAAATTTTAAATGGAGAAAAAAAAAGAAAAAGGCTCCACACCAATGACAAGCTGTGAATTCAGATTGTAGGCCATATTTTCCGCTCTCCTAACTCAAGACTCCTGGCTGGCCCAGACCACGAGAAGTGGAGTCATCGAGCGGATGTTTCCGAAAAGGCCAACAACCTAAAACCGCTGCCCCCCCCCCACCCCCAGTGCGTGCCGTTCATAGAAATACAAATAAATCACCTTAATACCAACGTCCAGGTGTCGTAATTACTTAGTAAGAACCCGTTCTGAGACTCTCTTTTCACTTCATTACAGCTCTGCCGTTAGAAAACGTAAACTTCTAGAAGTTCCTCTCCCAAACTAGCAAACAGTTCTCCCCGTGGATGGCGCTAAGGGGGCGAGGGGGGCGGAGGGGGGCGAAGCGGCGTGAGAATGCACAACTTCAGCAACCTGGGGTTTTTTTTTTTTCGCTCCACGCCGAATTTGCCACCACACGCCGACGACACGACCCGGTGACTGACACACGACAGAGTCCCAAACGTAACGGAAAACGTCCCGCAATTGAAAGCGTGACTTGCACCGTAAAACGACAACAATCGATACCGACCCACAACACGGGAGCTTTCACGTTTTGGGTACGGCAACTTTCCTCTGGAGATTTGTTTTTCGCTATTGGGACATGTAAACAGCTCCGTATAAGACGTAAAGCACAGGGGAGCTTTATATCAAATGCTGCTCGGTGCATCAACAGCAGGACAGATGTTTGAAGACAAAGGATTTAACCCCCTCCAGCTGCTACAGAGGTTGCTATATAAGTAGCACAAAGGGGACATTTGATTGAGAGCTGTGATTATGTTTTCAGAAAGCATTGAAACTGAGGTCAAACCCGTTCACTTTTCTATCTTTTGAAAGCTGTTATTAAGAAAAACTGTAATTAACTGTGGCTGGGTTAAAAAAAAAAGGAAAGAAAGGATGCTTCCGACCGTTACAACGTTGAAAGTATTTTTTTTTTGTGGTTCTTGCCCTCCTCTTATACAGTGCCAAAACTAAAACAAGCTTTTACATTTAGTCCCTAAATAACCACAACGTGGGCTTGCACGGAAGCATTTTCCCCAGATAAGTTAGCTCCCCACGACACAAACCTGTGCTCATGACTCCCGACTTGCTCCTTTCTCCATGAGTAAAAATTTACTTTCAATGGAACTGCGAGAAAATCCCCGTTTTGTCCATCTTCGACAGCATTGTCAGTGGGAAAATGTCGTCAGTGAGAAATCGAGATTCATCTCCGGGGTTCCTTATCTTGCCAGCGGATACATGGATAAACTCTGTATACCAGTTACTTTTTCCATTTTTCGAAGTTTTCAGCCACGGTGCTGTTCCCTGTCGTTTAATCCAAAGATGATAAAAACTACAAAGTGTTTCCTGTTAAGTTTCTAAAAGTAAAAGTACCGTTGAAAGATATGTGTTTCGTTCTTGAATATGTTCAGTAGTATTTGTATTGTAGGTTGGTATTTATGTCCAAACCAAGAAGTGTGTTGAATCATAACAACATTACCATGATTTGTGGTAAGTTATTCCCATATTACATGGTTTGAAACGTGTATACATTTATTTTGAAACTGTTTCCTGTTTAAGTTTTTCCTAATAATCGGTGGCTACACACTTCCACATCCCTGCTTAGTTTTCCAACGGGTTACGTCCATACGTCCTGTGGCCACACGAGGCGCCCTAAGAAGAACAACCGCCTGATGATTTCTATTAGCAAAGAAGTGTTGGGTCGGAGCCGGGATTTGTAGGAATTGTAGTTTTACGCCAAGTTTAGCAACCGGCTAACTACCAACTTCTCAACGGCTGTTACCGACTACGGTCGCACACAACTTCAGAATGCTAAAGGGGCTGCGTATCCATGGCGGAGAGCAATGACTGAGGAGTTTGACGAAGATGTGGTATTTGAGGTCTGTATAACCGCTCGTAACCGTCTGAGAAACTTGTAACAGATGCTTTGTCATACCCCATGAGTTCTGAGGTGAACATAGGCGCAGGGTTCATTGACGAAAGCTAGCTGAGTGCAAGCTAGTGTACAAGCTAGCGTCTGTTAAGCAGCCAATTGTTTGTTGCGGTCTCTTGTCAGTCCGGGACAATTCCACATATTTGGCCGGTTGCTTAGCGCGTTTCGGCCAAGAAGCTTTGTTGGTCACGAGAGGGGCTGAGCCGTGCTAGTGTGCGCACTGTTGTTGGCGTTTCATCATTGCTGGACTGGCAGTCAGGAGGTGGGGTGGGGATGATCACATCCAGTGCGTCGGTTCTGTAAAATGACACGCTCACTCACATCTCCCCGCATCTGGATGGTGACAACATGATCCCTGACTTTGCGAGAAAATGCATGTGAGTACTATACATTCACTCTTAGAGGAGCCTAGCCATTAGGGAACGTCGGGATTGGGATATATGAGATTCCCTCTCTCTGCCGGACCCTAAACATAGTAGGGATGGAAGATGCTCTAGAGTGCTATTTTCCCGGCAGCGAGATAATAAATGGGTCAGGCACATTTTTGACAAAATATGCCGGATAACTGCATGACAGATTTGGCTCTGAGCTCTTTTTGTCTTGGATAAGGAGCAACATCTCTCTTGGAAAATGTAGTATTATGACATTACAAGTCATGCTTAGTCTAGAAAGGAAGGAATTAAGTGCAATTTACTATACTGAAGAGGCTCAAACAACAGCTGCAACATCTGTGTGATCAATGACCTATTCTTCACTTTAAGCGACGATCCCCCCAGTAAAACTGAGCTGAATGAAATCACTTCTGCTTCTTGTCCGCTTCCCAGAGCTGGGTTACCTTTTCCACACGAGGGACAAAATCAGAGTGATTATTATCTCGGCCATGTCAGAAACCAAGACCAATCGTCACAGTTCCTGTCCGTGTTATCGTCATTCATCTGACTGGCTATAATGCACTTTCTCGTTCATATCTGCACCACTGCAGCTCAGTACATATTTCCCTCCCCTCCGTCCTTCTTCCGTTTGCAGAACTCCCCTCTTTTCCAGTACCTGCAGGATCTAGGGCACACGGACTTCGAGGCATGTCCTACGGCGTCCCAGGAGGACGAGTACGGCGGAGAAGAGGGAGACCTCATCCCTGATGGAGAAGGTCCCCACAAAAGCTCAGTGAGTTCCCGTCCACAACACATGCCTGCCTTCTCAGACAGAACATTTCCCCAACCGATCAATTACGTGATTCAAAATGGAACGTTGATCCAGTTAAATCTTGTGTACGCATTTATGCACAAAAAGGAGTTCACAAACCAGTGTGCCGTGACTAATATGACATGAGACTTTCTGTATATCTAACTGTTGCACGCCGTCCAATAACAGCAGAGCTTTGAGGTTTTTAAGGAAATATGAGCAAAACATGTACCTTTCTTATTCTTTTGGGACATTTATTATTCAACTACATATTTAGTTGTTTTCACAACATATTTGTTGGCTTCGAGAACACATTATAAACATCTCTTCTACATTTGCAGTTCAAGCTAGTTTTGCACGGATGATATACAGTTGATCATAAAATATATTTATATGTGATATTCATGTTTAGAGTTATGGTTATTTTAACATTTCCAGTAAGCTATGGGAGCTACTGTCACATGTGCTGTTCTTTCGTTATAAAAAATGTATTACACTACATGATGTCAGCAAATAGGGAGGACTAAAACTCCAGATCTTTCTTATTGTTCAAGAGCAAAACAAATCAGAAGGATTTGATATGCTTCAGTGGAAGATAGTGTGTGTGTGTTTTTTTTACTTTTAAGCTGATGGAATCGCTATGTAAATACGGAAAAGATCATGTATTATTGGAGCTTCTTCATGAAGATATCTGGGTTAAACAGGAGATAGAATGTCCTTAACTGGCACCCGTCCTTCTTCACAGTTGAATTCCTAACCAAGGGAAGTGCGTGTGTGTGAGTGATCGTCCTCGCCTGGCATTCAGACAGAAGTAACTGATTAGACCACTGACTCCAAACACTAACACATATTGGCACACAGTCACCCGCAGACCTCTGTGCTGCGCATTTGCGTCACTTTGATGGCACGCGGTAACACCAATGTTTAACGAGAGCGCATATGTGTGTGTCTCTCCAGTATTCACATGTGTATTCCTGCTTTTCCAGAAGAGCTCAGTGCAGTCAGACTAAACCCACTGAACTTTTCTCATAGCGCCGCGTACATCTGCCTATTAAACGACTAAAGTTTCAGACTACCTGTGATTCAGTCAGACGGGTAATTTGCCCCTTGGAAGCTCTCAGGCGGGGTAGTGTGTGTGTGTGTGCGTGTGTGCGTGTGTGTGTGTGTGTGGGGGGGGGGGGGGGTCACATGAATCGGCTTCCCCTCATTCAACCTCCAACGCGACGGGAAGCTGTGTGTGTGTGTGTGTGTTTTGCTCGGGAACTTTCCGTGTGTCATGCTTCCTCTCTGGCAGAGTGTTGTTCTAAGGAGTTGTGGAGGATGAGGGATGAGGGTCAGGCAGAGAAGCTTTCGGGTCCTCCCTCCGTGAGCTATTTCCTGGAGTCCACATGAAGATGAACTCGCAGCCAAAACGCCTCGTTTCGCCAGTCACGACCAGTAAAAGATCAGGGGTTGGTCGCATTATTGCAGTGGCGTTTTGTTTTTTTGGTTTTTTTTCTGCTCAGGTTGGGCAACAACTGCAAAAAGAACACCGATTCAAATCTTTAAACATGACCGTATGAATGCACATTTCATTCTGCTTCTCAAATCTCATGGCCGGCATTAGAAGACGTAAACTGTAATCCAGCTTTATTGATATCTGTAATTAACTGCATTTGCATGAAATATTATTAATAAACCAGAGATAAGTTCAGGCAGAGATATGCAAAACCTTTGCTTACAGTATATAATAGAGAGTATTTAAACATTCCTCTCTTTTACTGTTCTGCAATCTTGAAAGAGCAGTTGTGTAAACGCTGTATGTTATATAACTATATTTGCCTCTTTTTGTGTCGTTAAACTGAATAAGCTGATAAGTGGCTTTAACCAGCATGCCTGCACATGATAAATCTACAGCACTTTTTACAGTCGATTCATGCTTTTAAGGTAAATTGCGAGGCTCATTTTGTAAAAAAAAGCTGACATTTTAGTATCAGGCTCTGATGGTCGTGAGACGATAAAGCAGCAGGACGCACAGGAACAAACTGCATTCACAAAGGTCCCAACTCGCAACACAAAAGAAATAAACACATAAACGATCTGCTGCCAAACTGTTGATGTCGAAAACGGTAAGACACTCCCAGAGGTCCCATCATGGGTCATGGATTTATCTGTTTCAACCTCCCACGTTGTTCCGGGAGCATCGTGTCATTGGATTTCGAGCCGTGGGGTCAGGAACAACATGTAATGGTGATCCATCAGCTGCAGCTATTGGAAAAAATAGTATTTTTCATAAAGTTCTGACTTGTAGTGGAAATAACAACTAACTGTAACAATTGCTGTCAATAATCTTTGCATTGAAATTAATGCAAATAGTTGAAGAACTAGTCTCATCATCTTATTACTGTTTATTTAGATTTTGTTAAAAAAACCATTGCAAAATAATTTCCAACATCCTAAACTGGAAGTTTGTTAATCTACACGGACCCAAACGGGTTAAAATGGATTTTTAGGTGTCCAACCAAAATGAACTAGACTCAAATAAGCCAAGTTTCTCTGCACATACTCAAGGTTTTCTGAGAAAACAATATAGTATAAGTGTGTATTAAGGCAGAAACCTAACCAATTAACTGAGAGCTGTTGAATTATCGTTAATGACAGTCCACTAAATGAATGTACTGATGAACCGTGCTGAAAGGCTTTGGCCGTAGTGTAAAAAACGCAAGTTAACTTAAGCCAAAGTTATGTCATTTGATCAGTTATTGTAGAAAAAGTCTAATATGCTGCTCCGCATCTCTTAAGCTTGCAGATTTTGACGATCCACCCTGATAAAGTCCAGAACCATTCAGCTTACATTAGCTCAAACAAGATAAAGGAACGATTGCCAAGAAGGGCTCATATTTTATTCACTACAGCGCGCCACATGTCATTTCTCCATTTGGTCTGGAAGCCACAGCGATCCCCGAGACAGCAGCAGAATACTGACGAGCATCCCTGAAAGAGAAGCCCAGGTCTTAGCTACATCTGATCTGGGACAGGTTTGCCTTATTTCTGGGTAGTTTTTCTGTTCAGCTCATCCTCTTGAAACAACGCAGACGACTGTGTGCCCTGGTTTGACATCACCCACAGCGGATGATCAATGCCGTGCAGCCGCCTCCTCCCGGGGCCCGGTATCCAATCAGAAATCGATAGCTACGACCGCAGCCCGTAGGCCAGCAGCACTTGTACTTCACACGCCAGAAAAAAGGGGGTCAGCGGCGATCAATGGATCTGCTGTACTCGGAGGATTTTATCAGGCCATCTCTCCCACATCTGTCCGCTCTTGGTTTCTTTTCAGAGCTAGATCCCCAACGTACAAACATCTTTCATCACGAGTCCCACTTCCAACAGGCGTTTCAGTGACGCTTCTAAACACTATAAGCAGATTAGAGCACAATAAATCCTATTCAGTTAGGTATTACACTGTTAGCATTTTTTGTGTATGTGTGGGGGGGGGGCTTTTAGACCAAACCATAGCAACGTTTTTTTGTTGTTTTTTTTTTAAGCCTGAGCTTCCGAATGTCAGTGCTACATAAAATGGAGATGATTTTATCTCTGGGACTGTTTATAGTGAGAGGCCCTGGGGCCAGGAGCACGCACTCTTAAGAAGCAGGATATAAAACAGAGGCATGTCTAGCGTCTCCAATGAAAAATGTACAAACTTGCTCTCTGGAACTACAAGAATCCTTTCCCCCTCCACTTGAGTTTTTTTTTTTTTAAACCCGCGTTGCGAAACGGCCGCATCCGTCTTTATTGGAGGAGAAAATGTGAAGGAATTCGGCCAAACGAAGCAGTTCAGCGACGGTGTACGTGAATGGTGCCTCAAACACATTGCACACATTGTCGTTGGGATGCAAGTTCGCGTTCATGCCTTTGCGCTTTAATGTCAAAGAATTGCAGACAAATTATTCTCAGACGTGCAAGTGATTAGTTTAAGGAGTGTATTCGGTGTATTGGAAATGTTGTATAAACTGACGAATGCTTTGTCTGGGGTGACTCTCAGGGAGGACGTCTGTGGAGACTGGCTGAGGCCCTGTGGACATGGAGCCCTCTTCACCAGGCAGCCGCTTCCCATCAGCTGGAGAAGCAACTGGTCAGTAGAGCAACCCACGTTCCGAGTCAAACTTGTAGAAGCGTACCTTCTTAATTTTAAGCTCTCTCTCTCTCATGTCTTGCTTGCTCCTGCGCAGGACGGCGTGTTCGGCCAGTACTCGGTCAGGTGCATCCTGGACCAGGACGTGCTGCTGCAGGAGGACGTGGAGCTCATTGAGCTGCTAGACCCGAGCCTGCTCACCTTCGGCTCCTCGCCCTCCGGCTCGCCCAGCCGGGGGATCACCCTGCCCAAGCCCAGCCTCATTGCCAAGCCCTCCCTATGGTAAGTGGCACCAACAGAACCCACAGATGGAACCACTACGTGACGCCAAATGATAAACAGTGGATATCGTTTGGTTTGGAATAAGCGGTGTTGTGTTCAGGATCTAGAAATTATTGAAAAGTGATCAAAGTATTATTCAAAATATAAATATTTTGAAGAAGTTGCTGGACTTTAAAGTGTTGCCTTAAAGAAAGCGTCCATCTCATTCATGCTTCTGCGTATCAAAATCCTAAGCTTTCCTCAGCTGAACTGAGTAGGGTCTGTTTTTAGGAGCTCACATGACTTTAAATTTTCAGTCCAAACTTAATTAGCCGAAGTGCTCCTCAAGATCTCTCCCCTGGATCTAATTTCATTCTACGCAACAGCGCAAATAACTACAACATGCAACCTCCAGCTCTTCATGGAGCGGCGCAGTCCTTCTGCTCCTCCGCCTCCCTTTAAACTGTGACCTGTTGAAAACCACCAACGTAGAAATGGATTTTTTTTCTTTTTTGGGGTTTCTTGGTGTCATTGCTCATCTCGGGTGCAAATCTGTAGGTGTAATTTGACAACCGTAACTTTCCCCAACTCTGTAGCTGGCTAAAACTGCCCCCATAAACAATTCGTTAGCAGTCTCTCAAAATAAAACCCCGCCGACCGGCTCCTTCTCTCAGGGATGTGGCGGCGCTGGTGGGGCTGGCCGCCGTGCTGCTGGGACTCTGCACCGCATCTGAAGGCCTGTGGTCGCTGGTCGCCGCCCCGTGGGGCCTCGGCCTGCTGGGCTGGCTGGGGCTGAGGGGCGTCACGCTGTGGAGACGGGGCCGCCTGCAGAGAGCCGTGCACACCAGGGCCACGCAGCTCCAGACTCTCGTCCACAACAGCAAAACTCTGACCGGCCTGTCCCGCAAAGCCCTGCGCCTGGTCCAGGAAACAGAGGTCATCTCCAGAGGGTTCACTCTGTAAGTGCACTTCCTTTACCTCACGCTGCCCGCCCCCCCCCCCGTAATTTACGCCATATCCACCCAACCCCATCTATTGGCTGTGCTCAAACTATTCAGGGGGTGTTTTACTGTTTATTGTAGGCCGCGGCTGTCTATCTCTGTGTGTCTGTGTAGCTCGAGCATCCATTGTTTAATCCATGCCGCTCTCATATCTGCATATGAAGCCCCAGTCAGCAGCTTGCTAGCTTTGCTTTGCATAAAGAGTGGAAACCTCCTGGCCTGGTTATGTCCACAGGAAACACAATCCACGTACATTTTCACCTCTGTAACATAGGCTCTCGTTGCATATGAAAGAAAATATCCTGCCGGCTTGATGTTCTTTTTGGCAGAACAACAGAACAAAAGCTAAGCTAAGCCGACAGGCCGTCTCTTCTTATTTATACTGTCTCGTCTGCCTTTTTATTTTATATGTGTTTGCATGTTTGTTTGTTTTGTTTTTGTCCGTTTAGGTGTTTTTGTCCGAAAACGTCGTCTGTCGTGCTGTCTCTGTTGTTGAGTCGTGTTCAGTGTTGTATGTTTCCCCCCTGCCTCTTTGGGACGTCTCCACAGTTGTATCACATTTCACTTGTCAAGTTTGCTCGACAGGGTGAGCACGGCGAGCTCCTTTAGCAGGGCGGGGCCGGGGGCGGTGCCACGAGGCCAGCAGCTGATCGGACTGAGGAAGGCCTTGTACCGGGCGCTCCGCTCATCCTTCAGAGCCTCTCGGAGGGCCACCTGTCACATGCTTAAGGCATATCCTTTCATTAAAAAGAACAAAAAAAGAAACAGAATTACATGGAACTTTAAAAAAATCTTAGAATGGTCCACTGTGTAGGGCTTTTGCTGTGGGCAAGGAAGACTTACTGTACAGTTCTTTGTTGCAGCAAAGCTGAAGAAGCTTTTTTAACAGAATTTTATAAGGGATGTGCAATGATTTGCAATATGTTTAACAAGTTGTGCAAAATAAGCCAGCGCAGTCACTCTTCGTACTCAGCTTGTTTCAGTCTTTGGCCCAGAAAATAAATCTTTAAGTATCAATTTGTATTCTTGACATGCTCCAAGAGTGTTTCAAGGTCTGAAACAATTCCTTTTGTAGACTTTTCAATGACTTTTTGCAACATCATTTGCACCCAAAACATTTTTTTAAATGTGACATTACAGTGAACTCTGCCCTACTTTAACAATTTTCCTTCTGTCTAGTTTTCCAATGTGAATTGTGTGATCTGTGTTCAGATTAAGCCTTTCAATCATGTCTCAGAAGTGTAAGAAATAAAATTGGTGAACTGAACTCAGGCAGGAGAAGATTGCTGTTTCCCAGGACCTATTTTCAGGACAGCAGTCGCTTTCAACCTTTTCAGGTTGCTTGTCTTAACAGATGATCTAATCAGACGAGTACATATAGTCACAGACAGTCGTAAAAGGAGAAAATGAATAAATCTTTTCATTGAAATTATGCCACCAGTCCAAGTAAAGGGACATCGAACCACTGGCCTTCGTCTAAAATTAGTCTTTTTTGTATTGCTGCATTGTTTCTCCACAACCATCCTCCAAAACTGTCAGTCGTACATTGCTTTTGCACAAGCGTCATCTGTCCTTGACACCCCCCAACGTTCCCTCTGAACTCCGAGATTGACAATGTGACAAACTACGTGTGCGCGGTGCCTCTGAAGGAGCTGGGCCTGGGACTGGGAATCGAGCACCTGGGGGACGAGCAGGCCCAGGAGCTGACGGATGACTACAGCCTGCCCGCCCTGAAGGTTGGAAACAGAGGCTTAAACACAGGGCTGTAGCTAATGAACCTGAAAGGAGGGAGTCGGGAAAGGTGGAATATGTGGGAAAGCTGAAAGCCTAAGAAGTTATTAAGATTTGGCATAAGTATTACTCCACTTTTTCAAAGTTTAGTCTATAGTTTTACAGTTTGCTTGACTGTTCGTCCTCTTTTTAAGCGATTTGGCAAAAGATGGAAAGGTTGCTTGCTTTCTTAGAACTTTACATGAAGCCAGAACTGAATCGGAGAGTCAGTATAAGTCAGTCCGAACACAGAATGGCTTCTGAAGTAAGAATCCTGAAGGCAGCTGGTTGGAAGACTGTCGGAGGAAGGAGAAATGGGAGGGAGGCTTCGTGGTCAACTCCGTATTTTCTGGTTGGATCTCCCGCAGATGCTGTACCAGCTGTGGGTCGGCCAGAGCTCCGAGTGTTTCCGTCGCCTGGCCCTCCTCCTGTCCCCGCACCGGATAGAGGAGTCAGCGGAGGGGGCGCCCCGCGCCGAAACCTCGCCCCCCGCTCCCCATCCCCTGCCGCTGCACCGGTCCATCGCCGCGGTGACCGAGCCCCTCCACCGCGGACTGGCCAGCTGCCTCGGCGAGGTGCAGCGCAGCTACGACTTCCACCGGCACTTCGAGATGCAGCCCAGGGCGGCGGGCTCCGACCGGACCGGGCGGGCCCGGGAGAAGTGCAGGGAGCTCAACACCCTGCACACCTCCATCAGGAGCCTGCAGCTGCACCTCAAGGCCCTGCTCAGCGAGTGAGACACGCACACAAACACAAGCCCTCACCGATCTCACTCCGCACCTCTGAAACGAGGAGATGAGAGGTCCATGTCAGTGTGTGAAAGATCAACACTTAAAAAGCAGAACACGCAGTAAAGAAAATCAGGCTTTGAAACTATGCAGACAAGAAGAAAATCCTGAATTTTCTATGATGTAAATCGGCGCCTCTCTCGCTCCGTCTTGTTTCATTGCACGTGATCTGGTCAGGATGATCATCCTGGAGGACGATCTGGAGAAGCTGATGGTGTCCAAGGAACTCACCGAGTTGACGCTGGATGGCTACAAGGACCTCAGCGAGCGGCTGCACCAGCTGCAGCCGCACATGCAGGCCAGCGCAGGCTGCTGGGAGGACACCATCTGCCAGGTGGAGCGCATGCTGAGACGGGCCAACTCCTGTCCAAGTGAGCAGAGCCGAACACAAACGCACCACGAACCTCAGGTTTCCCAGAATACGTTAAAACAGAGATCTCCTCCTCGAGTGGCACGGTGGGTTTATGATTCTGAGGGGACCTATTTTTAGCTCAGATTTCCCCCTTCCTTTTCCATGACTCAATACTGTTTCCACTTATGGAGGAAGTAGCTCCACCTTAACGGAGGAGAAGAAACCTGAAGAAACCAGAGTACCGCCATCAACAGACATAGCAGACTCCAATACCAAGCTGTTTGAGTAATCTGTGGTGTGAAGTCACAGTGTGCCCCGTCCGCAGGTAACGCTGACAATGCAGAGCAGGGTGGCTTTCAGATGCCTGTTCCCGCGCCTCCTCCATCCTACCCTTTGATCCTAGACCGAGACCCAGTACCAGAGGAGCTGGTAAGACCTTTCGGCATTGATCTTGAGCCTTAAATGCTGTCCATCTCAAATGTAGGGCTTTTTCTTTAAGAGGTTTTGTTTGAAATCGGTTGGTCTAGACTATGTGTTGGTTTGAAAGGGACAGGAATCAAAAGGGGTCGTGGCCTGTCAGTCTCTCCCACCGACTTCTTTTCACCGAACAGGATCTGGAGGCCTACGTGTCGGACTCCGACTCCGACGGTGACGGCAGAGGGTCGTGGTCCGACATCTTGCCCCCGGAGGAGCGGGAGCGGCAGCGGAGGGAGAGGGAGGAGTCCCGCCGCGTCCTGTCAGAGCTCAAAGCCGTTCTGGGCTTCCGCGCGTCAGAGGGAGAACGGATGAAGAGGAAGCAGCTGCTCTTCAATGACCAAGGTATGCGGCGCTGAGACAGATGCTTTTGGAATGAAGCTAAGTTTTGGCCCCGGCGTTGAGTGTGTTTTTCTGTTTAAGCTCAGGACGACGGGTTGTAAAACAGTCAGTTATTTCCGTGCCAAAACGATGCATCAAAATGACAGCGCAGAGATAATTGTGCAGAATACAAAAATATTGCTCTGCTCTAGCTCTGCTTAATGCTAAGCTAAGAGGGACGGAAAGACACAAACATGGATATGTGATGAAAAAGTAGCCGTAGCTACTTGCCATTTATGTGTTCAAGATTCGGTCAAAGTGTCCTCTGAGCTTCCTTTCGAACTGAATTTTTCTGACTTAATTTTGCAAATGTCTGCAGCAGAAGACGTTAACCTGATGTGACAGAATGCTGGTCTCAGAGAGCCATCTGTTCCTGCAGTCGCTCCCTCTTTAAGGAATCCTTAGCATCTGTCAGTCATTAGGCTAATTCAGTGCCTCTATCAAATGAAAATTAAACAGTGTTTTGCTTTCAATAAATTAGGCTCGACTTACCACATGCTGCTCACCCGTCAAGCCTCTTTAAGTTTTCCGAAAGATCCACCATTCTGTCGTCTTTTCTTGCTCTCAAAGCAACCCTTTTCTCCCTCCTCTGGCTGCATCTAAGAATTAAGGCACCCTTCAAAGTGTTAGGAAGTGAACAGTTTCTGATTTGCATGGCCGGGGAAGGGGGAGAAAATAGACGAGGAGCTATATATTACACCAATTCAACGTGGATTAATGCACAAATCAGAGATAAACAAACAAAGACTGCTTGGGGGTGGGCACTAGTACTTATTTCACATGATAAGTGAGGACTCTTCAGATAATTAAAGATGAGCAAAGCGGTTCCTTTGTCTTCAGTGGCAGAAACAACTGGTTTTGGCTTCACGTGGCCTTGCTAGTGGATTTGTACAAATAAAGTAGTAGTTCATTCTCAAGACTTCCCAGTAAAGCCGAATACAAAAATTGATGTTTTAACGCTTCTTTCCTGGCAGCTGCTGTGTCACCTTCAGCTGTGGCTGAGGGTTCTGACCCCGCCGCCATGCTGCCTGGCCCTCCGCCCTCCGAGACTCCCACCGAAGACGGAAACCACCTGTCAGAGCGGCCCGCTGAGGAGGACGAAGAGGAAGGGGAAGGCGGGCCCGGCGGGGCGCGGCCCGACCCCTCCACAGCCGCCGCAGCCGCCGCCACGGAGTTCAGCTGCGGCCCCGAGGGAGGACCGGCGGGAGGAAGTCCAGCCCGCAGCAGAGGGGGAGGAGGGGGAGCAGCCGAGCTCCACCAGTACGACGGCATCGCCGAGGATGAGGAGGAGGGCGAGAGCCGGAACGGCCTGGACTGCTTCCTGAAGCCCAAAATCCCCGCCGTGTCCCTCATGGACCGCCTGACGGAGATGCACGGCTCGGAGGCTCTCAGCCTCAGCTCCGCCCTCGCCGCGCAGGTGGCCGCCCGCTCACACTCGCTCATCAACATGGAGGAGCAGACGTTTGGAGACGACGAGGTGGAGGAGGAGGAGGAGGAAGAGGAGGAGGAGAGCGAGCAGAGAGCCTCCGAGAAGGACTAGAGGCGGGACTCCGGAGGCCACCGGGCTGAGACTGATCTTCTTTTGTCGACGGCTCCGTGTCGCATCTTTAACTGCTTCTGACGCGGAGGTAATTCAAACACTCCACCCCCACCCCCCCCATCCGTCCGTCCGTCCACGCCGCCGTGTCCGCACGCCGCCCCACAGTTCTTACCGCTCCCTCGCTGTCCAAACTCAGGTACCAGAGCCACTAACGCAAAACGCGACCTCACCGCGCCGAGGCCAGGCGAGCAGAGGGTCCTCAGTTTGACCCGCTGACCACTCGCTGCCAGGCCATCTCAGTCTTTCTGCAGACGTGGGAGGGCGGCGTGATCGTCCACATCGTCACATGTGTTAGAGGGTGGTTCAGAAGGAAAAAAAGGCAGTTTTAACTGTGTCATGGGGGGTGGATATATGGACTTCAGGTGGGTTCAGATAGAAAAACCGAGTTCCCCATTGGACTGTTTGCATATGTCCACCCTGAGGTTGACTGATGCTGGAATGTCTTTTTTTTTCTTTTTTCAGTCTTATCAGAACCTCTATTGAAGGCAAAAAAATTCCCATGAATCATCACAGATTATTTTTGTATTTTACTGAATTGCTCCAAATCCTTCTGGAAGGATATTAATGTTCAGAGTCCACGATTTCATCCACTTATTTTTCCCTCTCTTCTTCTTTCTCGTTCCTCAACACCAACAAGCCAGTCACGGCCAGCACCTCCCCTAAAACAAAAGTTCTCTTCGGACACGTCCTCGAAACTGCACGCCAAACGTCTCTGAGTGGATACCGGACGTGTGATAACAAAGCTCACGTGGCGTCGTCTGTATTCCTATCCGTTCGGGCCTCCGGTGTCCTTTTTCCCAGAGCCGTTAAAGACAACAACAAGTGGCCATTCTCCCTGTGCAGGCGCTGATGCTAGCAGCTAGACGTGCCCTGGAGCTCATTCTGACCAGATAAGACGTAGCCAGGACTAGCCGGGGGAGGGGGGGGCTTTTTCATCCCTGCCGGTGTACGATAGCCCTTAAAAGTTAAAGAGATGACCTTAGAGTACCACAAAAAGTTAAATATAACGTTTGAGGCCTTTGGAGATGACAGGTTGGGAAAAAAACTGAGATAGCATACCTGTCTTACTGGGAGTGTTTTAACTGAAGAGGGGGTCGATATTCAGTTCGGAACTTAAAAAGGTCAAAAAGCTCATCTCTCAGCTTTCTTGGATTTTTATCCACATATTATTCACCTACGCACCACACTGAATTAGAGCTGAGATATCATCAAAAGTTAAGAGAATATAGAAATTGCCTCTCTTAAAGCTCAACCATTGATTCAATATTTTTTTCCTTTGGAAACCAGAGCCCCTGAAACCTTTTGTATTTTTTTTTATAATGCAGTCACGATTGAGTGCACCAGTTACTCACATTTCTGAAGTCTTTTAAAGGTGAGCTGGATGGATGCTCTTATAAATTATGGTTTTTGGTTATGGGTGTTGCAGCCTGTAGATCAGCATGCGTTAGACTGGACTGAAGCGTTCAGGTCAGCATATGTAGCTTTAACCCCAACAAAACTACCGAAGAGTCTGGGCTTGAATCGGAGAAAGTAAAGCTAAAGAAAAGGATGAGACGGCTCGGATGAAGGCAAAGAACAGAGTTTTCCTGGGCGACCGAACACAAATGACCCGACTGTGAAGTTTTTCCCCAGAGCAGCGTTCCTGTCTGGACACCGTGAAGACCAGAGGTCAGCTGATTTCTCCCAAACGGACGTACGGTATGCGACGGGAAGAGGAAGCCCAACGCTGTTTTGTACCGCCGGCGCTCTATTTTCGTCCGGCCTGTTTTGTTTTTTTCTGCAATCCATCTCCGTGCCGTCTGATGGGACACAATGAGAGGGGAGGGGCGTGGGGGGGGGGTGGACAGGGAGCTGAAGGCGCATTCTCAATCCTCTTTCCAGAGGCGCATTTTTGGAGTACACTATTGTATCTAAGAACAACCCATCAAGTGTGACACAATCTCATTTTTCTCAGTGTGTGTGTGTGTGTGTGTGTGTGTGTGTTTACAGGGGCGCACGCTCAGCAGAAACGGTTTGACCCATTTGTTCGATTTGAATGTAACGAGTTGTGCTGGGGGTAGAAATGAAAAGATGATGAAGCGAGGGCGGTGCGTAACATCCAGACGACAGTGTCCCGAAGTCCCGATGTTGGCACCCCTCCTCCACCCCCCCCCCCCCCCCCCCCCCCCCCCCACACTTCCCCCTCTCGTCACCATGTTTGCCTTGTCTTGACCCCCTCCTGCATTTTCCAGTGTGAAATAAAATGCCATTCTGGAAGTGTTCAGTGAATCTGTCCTCACGCTCATGTTTCATGGGAAGGGAAGGAGGGGTGGAGGAGGTTGAGAAACAGGTTTGGTTGGTTATTTGATAGGTTTTGTAGGATTTTGCCTTTGTCTGACCCACAACAGCTGCTATGCCCTTTTTAAGCGGCCCCTGCCCTTAGAGGCTCACGCTCTGACTATCATCATAATCTACAATTATGTTCCACTACATTTCCATAGATAAACACTGGTTACCTTAGTATGTACCTCTCAGATGAAGATATATAAATAACTAAAAACTAACACACTGATAAAGATAAAACTGATAATCTCAATGTAAATCAGTTTTTAATAAAAGACGGTCAAATTACAGAACCATTGCAGGTTTATACCAAACTTCTTCTCTCATAAACCCTGTAACCCCAAATGTATCTCATGACCCAGACACAGAAATAAGTATCTCGTTATGGAAATAATTAAATCTCACTTTTCATTGAGCTCTTCCATCTGGGAAATACTTTCTTTCATTGTTGTGACACTATGCAAACAAGCTTATGTTCTAATATATAACAATATATTCGTCCCAGGGAGCAAAAAGTTCGACTTGCAATGTGTAAATTATAATATTGTGCTTTTTGAAAGTCAGGATTTGGGCTTGAAGCATGATAATTTTAATTAAATGAGCCAACAGGTGTTACTTAACAGTGGGGATTATTTGGTTCCTTTGTCATAAATTGAACTTAAACTTAAAAATAGCTGTAACGTTTACAGAACTAAGTAGAGAAGTCTTTAGTACCAAATCAAAATAAACTACCTAACTTTATAACTTGTTTTACAACATAGTGCCACCTATGTTGTAATGTTGCCACCTAGTGGTGATCTTTATCATTGCTGCCGCTGTTTGCGCTACCTTTTTTCTTTTTACAGTCCACTTATTGGTTTAGCACATTATTTGTGACTTGTGTCAGTGTAGTATTCCCTTTCACTAATTGTGATATTTTTATTTTTGCGCAGTCGAGTTCATATAAGCTGTGTGCATCAACGTCCCGTGTATTAATAGCCGAGTGCAGGTGTTTCCTATTTAGGCTCCCGTTCGACGTTGGAACTGCTTTTCAGCTTATTCAGCAAATTTGGGTTTGTGAGGCGTTCACTTGCTTTAATGAAGCTCCGAGTATACAAACGCGTAAGTCCCGTTATGGATTTTTGGGAAATATCGTGATAAACATCACAATGAATTTAGGATGGATCAAAAGATTGACTGATTTCAAACTAATGCAATTCAATTTCGAAAAAGTAAAAAAAAAAAGTAAAAATGTTAATTCTTCAAATTAAGCTGAAGAAAAAAACGAAATCCTCAACGCGTTAGTGGATGATCCTCCTGCTACATATTTTTTATAAAATCTGATTTAAAACGGTTGTTTTCAAAGAAAATATTAAAAGAAAAAATATTACTAACAGCTATAATACCGAGTATCATGAAGGTATCATTACACTCAGCAGTCCCACAATCCATCACGCTTCCTTTTCCAGCAGCGCCTGCGATCATGGCGGACGTTGTAGCGGAGCAGGTCGTGGACCAGAAACCAGTCCAGGACCGGGAACTGAACGGGCAGCCGGAGGACAGGGAAGAAGCCGACCCGGTGGAGGAGACGGCGAAAAAGAAGAAGAAAAAGAAGAAGAAGAAGTCTGCAACGACAGGTGACTTCGTCCTGCCCACTTGCATGCTAACTGGCTTTACGAAGCTAATGTTGCTTATTTCAGCTGCTTCAAGTCATCCACTGTTAGCAACGTCAAAGTCGGAAATGGCGTGACATATCCTTCAAATTAAAGGGCACGATGAACAAAATCGAATTTCGTCAAAGTGTGGACTGAGATGAAATGCGACGTTTTTGTGTTATATCCTTTTAGATTAAAATAAGTCATATTTGCAACGCATTTAGGTGGATTTGATCTTTGTTATTAGCAATGTGGAACTTGGAAATCTTTGACCAAAGAAGCTAAAAACTTTATTTCATAGTGTGGAATAATTTAAACTTAATTACCCAATGCCCTTAGGCACATTAAGGAATCGTATTTACTCCGTTATTGTGACTTTCGCAGCTCGTAACTCGGCGTATTACCGAACCCAGTAAAACTACAGGGGAAATATATTATTGTGAAAGTCTCGCCGGAAGCGGGGACGTTGATGGAGACGTACCGTGATATTGCCGCTGCTGCTAATTAGCCATGCGGGACCAGAGTGGTGTCCACCGGGTCGCTGCAGCGCCTCTCAGGCCTAACGCAACGCGCCGCGGTTTGACCAGAACCTCGTCCAGTGTCGATGACACGATTCACGGCTACTTCAAAGTCATTTTCGTGCCCGTTTCGAGCGTAAACACGCTTCGTTCAGGGGGGTTTAACCACTCCTTTTGGCAGCTGTCTTCTGACTGCGCTAAGCTCAGCCAAGTTTTCCTGTTTCGTAATTCTCCCATTGCCAGAGTTATTATGTAAGGGATAGAACACCTATATAAGTCTACCTATAATAGTCACCCACTTCATGAATCGTTTGTCCCATTCACTTTTAACCACGTGAAATGAAATATTTAGTAATGTCGTGACACTTGTTCTAAACAATCAGAGGCTTTAAAGGAAGTTCTTTTATATTTTGCTATACCTACATTAACATGGCTGGTGATGCTGTGACATTCGGAAAAATTATGGTTAAAAAAGCATATATATATATGTGTGTATACATATGACAAGTTGCATATAGACTTTTTTATGTCTGCCTTTAAAAATGTTGATTACTGAATATAGTTTCCTTTTTTTTACATGACCATTCTTAAAAGCACATGATTTCCATCAATATAAAACTGTATTTTTTGTTTATTTTTTGCTGTTTTGAATACATTTATAAAAACCTTGGCTTTTTTGTTGTTGTACTTTCTTCCTTAATTTTTGGCAGTTTCCTTTTTTTCGTCCTTTACATTTAGTTTAAAGTGCTTTAGGTGATCAGATCACGAGTGAACGTATCTTTTTCCTCCTTGCATGCAGAGTAATGTAAACTGCATTTTTCTTTTCAATCGGTAAAAGGCTGCAGTGGCGTATTTCCACTCGTGCTTACTCAGCACGGCGCGGCTCTGCACAGCATTTTTGCATTTCCACTAAGGGCTGACTGGCCCCCACGAAACAACTACAACTTTGGCGTCTACTCAGCCGTGGCTCTGTGGGTTTAGTGTGTTCACAGTTGCCCTGATGTCTTTGATTGTTGTCTCGGGCGTGAAGGACGTCCCGCTTGGCCGTAATCTGTAATGGACAGCCACTGCGTAGAGCCACGCCATGTGGGGCTGAGGAGGCACTAATGGGAATACGCCATTACTTTCCTTTTTTTATTTTATCTAAGAACAGAAGAATAGCACACACTTCCTGTACACGGTCATAGAGAAAATCAAAAGCCAAAGTTAATCTTTTCTCTGTTGTGTCTTCAGTTCGGTTTAACCACCAACTGCATCTGAAAGGCACATTTAGCATTTTCATGTGTTCCAGGCCACCGCCGAGTGTGGCAGGAGTGATCTGACCCAAATGGGTTTGAAAGCTGTTGCTGCCTGTTATGAATATAGGACACTTGTAATCATATTGCCAAGGCTGCATGTTAGTATCATGTTTGAACAGGACCTTAGAAATGTTCACGTTTTAAAATGAATTAATTTATTTATTTTTGGAGTTGAACAATCGTATCACCTTGAAGAGCATATGTGCACATCTGGTGTGATATATTCCAGTGAATGCTCGTTTCATCTGCGTTTCCTGCTCTGTAAGCAGGTATGTCCACTGAGCAGCAAACGGTACTAAATTAGTTTTTGTGACGTTTTTGTTCTGTGAAGCAGGACGGTCCTCCCCGTGGCCTGTAAAAAGGCAACTTTCTGCTCCAGCAGGGCTGCTTTGTGCACAATCAAATTTATCTGGATACCAGATAATAAATAAAAAATGTAAAAAATAGTAGTCACATGATATCTGGTTAGTATTCCCATGTTGTATTGTAAGGGGTGGATTTCATTCAGATTATCATAAAAAATGCCAACTTAAAATGTCCCGGGGTGCTCTTTAATGTGGTAGAGGGGCTCCAATCTCAACGGTACCTGTGATGGTATCACCCTGGAAGCCCGGCAGCATCAGGCCTGTAGACGGGCGTGTCTCCAGACAGTAAAGGATTGCATCTAGCCCTCTGAATAAACCGTATTTATCTGTACTCTGTGAGGGGTAGAGGACACAGCTGCAGGCCCTGTGAGATATGCAGCACGATGCAGGGCATTTCATTTAGTTGAATCTTTTGATACTGCTTATTTTACATGGTATAGCACACCTCCTCCCGCTGGCTACCGTCAGCGTAGACAGGAAGTGGCTCGCCGTGCCCATAACACTTTGCGCTCCGTTGCAGCTGTTGAGGCGGATGGAGTGGCCGAAGTGACCAAACAGCTGGAGAAGCAGGTGATAGAGGAGAAAGAGAAGGAGGAGGACGGCGAAGAAGGTGACTGTTTGACACTTGATCCACTCTGTTTCTCCGCCGCAGCATGTGGTGCCGCCCCTTTAACGCCCGCGAACGTTTGGCTTGCTGTTAGCTGTTAGAAACACGGTGTTCTGCTTCAAACAGATGGAGACGATGGCGAAAACGCGGCAGGGAAAAAGAAGAAGAAGAAAAAGAAGAAGAAAGGACGTAAGAGGAGTTTTTTGGGGGGTTGTCGGGGTTCTTGAAATAAGAAACAAAAAAAGATGCGGCAGGAGACGCACGTGAGGAGAATTCCTGCTTCTTTCCTTTGACTGTTTTTTTTTTTTTCTCAGCCAAAACTCAAACCGACCCTCCATCTGTGCCCATCTGCGACTTATTCCCAAGCGGAGTGTTTCCCGTCGGACAGGAGTGCGAGTACCCTGCCTCTCAGGACGGGTAAGCAGAGCAAAGACGCCTGCCGGGTCATTCCCGCTTTGACACAGAGCAGCAACAAAAGAGAACAGAGATGGCTGGACTGTTCTCAGCTGGCTTAGAAGCATTAAAAATAAGCATCTAGGTCCCAGTTGAAATTGCAAAGCATGGAAACGGCTTTAGTCATTTGGCCCAACCCCAGGGAGGAGTTACAATGTCCTCAGCTTGAATTTCCCTAAAGGAGTCTCCCAAGGGATGAATCAAGTCAATCATTCCATCCTATGCAAAGAGCTAAATAAATACGCTATATGCTATAAGTGACAAAAATAAAGGCTAAAATAGTTTAATACCATATGAAATAAATGTTTCGTGTCTCTGTCTCCCAGTCGCAGCGCGGCGTGGCGCACCACCAGTGACGAGAAGCGAGTTCTGGACAAAGCCAACGAGGAAATGTGGAGCGACTTCAGGCAGGCGGCCGAGGCCCACCGGCAGGTCCGCCAGCACGTCCGCAGCTTCCTCAAGCCCGGCCTGACCATGATCGAGATCTGGTGAGGAGGCTTCCAGTCACGTGTCTCCGCCAAACGGCAATCTGCTGCCCTCATTCCGGTTTGCGAGTCTCTTACTCGGCTAAGCCTCCGAGGCTCCAGGCCGCCGGGGTTTGTTTTGGTTTGCCCCCCGTGTGTTCAGGCCTGCTTGTGGTCGGGGCTCATTTGGATGTAGCCCCTGTACTGTGGGTGGTGAAGTGGGACTGGATTGGGGTGAACGGGGAATCCGACAGACCAAGATGTTATGTTTTCAGAGTCCTACATTGTTTTCACACTACCCAATCAGAGCTCTCCTTCTAGGGTTATTTACTAGACTTTCATGTTAAAGGTGGGATAAAGAAAAGCGTTTGTTGGGGGAGCAACTAATTGCCAGTAGGGTTTTTCTAAATGTATTTCTTTATTTTTTGTTTTGTTCCTCGGCTCCTCCAGCGAGCGTTTGGAGGACTGCTCCCGCAAGCTGATAAAGGAGAGCGGTCTGAACGCGGGCCTGGCCTTCCCCACCGGCTGCTCCCTCAACCACTGCGCCGCCCACTACACGCCCAACGCCGGCGACCCCACCGTGCTGCAGTACGACGACGTCTGCAAGATCGACTTCGGCACGCACATCAACGGTACGGCCCGCCCATTCCCCCCAAGCCCACCCCACCCCCCCCGCCCAGCCCTTTCAGGGCCCCAGATTCTGAGTGTTGTGGGTGTTGTCGTCCGCAGGGCGAATCATCGACTGTGCCTTCACCGTCACCTTCAACCCAAAGTACGACAAGCTGCTGGAGGCCGTGAGAGACGCCACCAACACCGGAATCAAAGTAGGGCCCCAGCACTCTACCCCCCCCCTCACCCACCCCCCCCCCTCACAGAGAGGCTGACGCTCTCCCGTCTCTGTCGCAGAACGCCGGCATCGACGTGCGCCTGTGCGACGTGGGCGAGGCCATCCAGGAGGTGATGGAGTCCTACGAGGTGGAGCTCGACGGCAAAACTTACCAGGGTACGTCCTCCTCCCCGGGGGGGGGGGGTGGGTGGCCGAGTGGACGGGAGGCTGTTCCCCATGAGCCGCCGCTCAGAATGAGCCGAACACCGCGCCAGTCCACGCCGTCCAGCTTCAGCTCGCCGCCGGCCCCCGAACGGCCGCATTAATCTGTCCACTTTGTCTCTGGTCTCCCAGTGAAGCCGATCAGAAACCTCAACGGCCACTCGATCGGTCAGTACCGGATACACGCCGGGAAGACGGTGCCCATCGTCAAAGGCGGGGAGGCGACCAGGATGGAGGCGAGTTTTTGCCTCCGGCGTTATAACGCCGGCCGCCCCCGTGTGTCCGCCCTCGTTGTGCTCATCGTCTGTCCTCTTCTCAGGAGGGGGAGGTTTACGCCATCGAGACGTTCGGCAGCACGGGTAAAGGCGTGGTGCACGACGACATGGACTGCTCGCACTACATGAAAAACTTTGACGTGGGCCACGTCCCCATCAGGTGAGCGCCGGACCGCCGCTGACCGGCCGCCATCCGGCCACCGGCGGTCCAGCTGAGCGTGTGTATCTCTCCCCTCCCCCAGGCTGCCCCGAGCCAAGCACCTGCTGAACGTCATCAACGAGAACTTTGGCACGCTGGCGTTCTGCCGGCGCTGGCTGGACCGCCTGGGCGAGAGCAAGTACCTGATGGCCCTGAAGAACCTCTGCGACCTGGGCATCGTGGACCCCTACCCCCCCCTCTGCGACACCAAGGGCTGCTACACGGCTCAGTTCGAGCACACCATCCTCCTCAGGCCCACCTGCAAGGAGGTGGTGAGCCGGGGAGACGACTACTGACACCCCCCCGCCCTTTGAACCAGGCCCCCCCCGCACCGCCTCACAAGCATCTCCAGACCAAGCCCACCCAGCAGAGCGTTACATCATCAACCACAGCTAGAGAAATCAAACAAGCCAACACGTTTCTGTCAGGGGGGGTTGGAGGTGCGGGGGGGCTTTACCCCGAGCATCCTGCAGACCTCATTCAGCAAAAAACATGAAATCGTTTAGGCAGTCAATGTATTAAAAGCTGCTGCTGAATCCAGCGTTCAGAGCCGGTGAGCAGGGGAAGCTTTTTTTTTTCTTTCCGTTTTTAAATCTCTTCGTTTAATTTTTAGTTTCTGTGGCTCCACTCCGAGCCGTCGGCACCTCGGTCCCCTTTTCAGAGGGAGCTGAAGGTCAGGCCGCTGCATGACCAGCAATCTCCGCAAGACGAGACGATTCTCATCACTTAAAGCCCGGGGGGCCGTCTCCACGACCACCCCCCCATACACACAGACACCGAGCACCCGCAGCTGCCTGGCTTTGGTCGCTACAGGGGGGGGCGCACGCCCGCCCTCCAGCCTCCGTTTCTCTGATGTCCGTACGATATCTCTGAAATGACTGCCGTCACTGTATGCTCCCAGTTAAAACGCTTCATTTTGAACTCTCCCTGAAAGTGTTTTTTTGTAAGAAAAAAAAAAGAATTAAAAGAATTTTTGCTCACTGCGGGCTGCCTCTTCTGTAGTTGTAGTTAATTAGTCCCTCAGACTAACATATAAGATGTTAATTGAGAAAATTAAAGTAGATTTTACATTTAAGTAGTAAATACAGATGTGAATATGTACATTTTCTTAACATCTCAATAAGCTCAAAGTAAAAGTTTCATACTCATTCATACCAAATCTTCAAGATAGCAGGGATGCTGTAAACTAAGAGATAAGTGGACACAGACCTCTTTTGTAGAAAAATGAAAAAATATTCTCATTTATTGAGGTAATTTTTTCTAGAAAAAAATTGAGGTAACAATTTGCATAGTATAACTTCCATAAAATTTACACACACATACGCACACATCCATGGAGTAGTAACCGAAATGCAAACAATTAACCCTTAGACAGTGACTGGAAAAAGAAGATGAGGTGTGCTTTGATTCCTCTTAATGGACAAATCGAAGGGAACATAATCGAACAGTAAAAATCTGTAGTTGCTGCTGGTGTCGAACATTTGGGACGAAATTTTTAAAAAAAAAGGCTGTATAACACATTTTAACAGTTGCTGGCCTGGTTTTAGGATCTCTGAGGATTGTATAAAAATACATTCATAATCCAAACGCTGGTGTGTGGAATTTCAGCAGATTCCACTTGGCTTAAATGAATAACTATAAAAAAATACATCGGCTCTTTTGGGAAAAGGACACTTTTCTAGCGTGGTACATTCTGGAGAAGAAAGATTGTGAAATCGAGCTGAAAACGATCCCTTTGGAAACTTCCTCCTTATGATATTAAAGGGAAGAAAGAAAGAAAGAAAACTAGCACCACCCAGCTCGTTTTGAACCCTTTTGGTAATGCTCACAGGAGTTTCCAGACTCAGAGTGAAAAACATGCCTTTTGTCTCACTTGTGTACTTTTTTTTTTTACTTTTTTTTTTTAAATCAACTAATACAGCCGCTTGAAAGATTTCTCCAAACCCATTTTGCTGAAATTAGTGCATTACTGCCAAGAAAAGGGCCCTGATTTGGCCTCGATATAAAATTCTTCTGAGTAAATCCATCAAGTTCTTTAGCTTTCTGGAGCACAGTGAGACCATTTCTAGTAAAAAGACACCTTAAAAAGCCTACATCCAGTTCTGGGTGAACTATCTAAAGTGACTGAGAAACATTTTAGCTGATTTAAACCAACAAACAGCATTTTACAATCAACTAGCCGGCGGGTGGGGGCTGGACTCTGTGGGGGCTCGCGCCTCGCCGCCGCCGGCTGCTACTGAGACACGTCTTTGCCGATAACTCTCCTCTCAATAAAATACAAAATGTACAGAGATCCCATCGCCGTTTTCCTCTTTAAAATACCTACATATAAACACCATGTACAAGAAGTTCACAAAGCAGAACCAGATTTTTAGAAAGGAGTCCTTCCACAATCCCACCCCCTCCCCAACTTATTTAGAAAAAAGAGGGGGAAAAAAAAGAAATCCCAGCCTCCCCGGTTTGAGAAGGAAAATGCCAGAAGAAGAGCGATAGCTGGGCTGTGCTGGTGTCGTCTCGCCGCGACGGGAGGGGCTTCGGGGATTGGGGGAAGGGAAGGGGGGGGGTTGGTGGTCCTATAGTGGCCGGTCTTTGTCCTGAGTCGCTCGCTGTGTGTAGAAGAGGATGTAGGCCTGTGCCCGGCAGACCTCGTCCACTGAGCACACGTTCAGCTTGGAGTCGTTGCAGTGAACCCAGAAGCCTGGAGGACGGGGGGAGAGACCTTTAGCACGCGGCTAACCCCACACACACACACCCCCCCCCACACCCCGACCCGCTGCTCACCTCCTTCTGTGTTGTAGCAGTAGGCGGTGTAGTGGCCCGAGCCGAAGCCCTTCCCGTGGTGCATGACCACGGCCGACAGCTCGTACAGGAAGTGCTTTGGCCGCGGCGAGCCCGGCGAGGCCGGCGGGCCCAGCGCGGCCGGCGGGGAGCCGGGGCTGCCTCTGGCCAGCGGCTCCCTGCAGCAGTAGGGCTCCATGTTCAGGAGCTGGTCGAAGCTGACGTGGACGCCGATCTTCTCCCGGTGGTTCCGCCCGGACCACCTGAAGGCCAATCACCAGCCGCCAAACAAAGAAACAAATACATATGACTAAATCAAGCCATGTCCATATTAAAAAAAAAAAAAAGTGTGTGGGGACCATTCAAATGCTTTGTGGATACATTTGATTTAACAGAAGATCCTGTGGAAACGACAGATGAAGTGTGTATCTGTAAAAATAAATACATTTCTGGGAAAGGTCGGCCATAATTTTCTGTCCGTTTGTTCCTTTTTTTTTTTTTTTTTTTACAATATTATCGTTTTGTGTTCCCATAAATATATTGTTTTCTTGTTTATTATCTGTTTTGTATGATGCAATTTTGCTGCTGGGTGTTTGACACCAAATTGCTGATATGCAGCTGTAACTGTAGTATTACACTTGCACATCAAATCAATATTAAAAAAAATAACTAAATAAATGGGCTAGCTTTACTAGAGCTGCGGGCGGACTGGGGTACACTGTCATCCTACCTGAAACGTTTGAGGTGAAGCCTGAGGACCTGAGGCAGTTTATGGACCATCAGCTGTTTCTGTGCTTCGGTCAGGATGATGGGTTTGGACGAGGTCCGGCGTCTGGCAGCTGCAAGCACACAAATTTCCATATAAATTAAAAAAACATATGCCGGAAGCGAGCAAACCCGGGCCTCTGCTACACCGGCGTCCCCCCCCTGTGAATCTAACCTACCGTTGCAGTGGTCGCAGGCGTAGATGCTGCCCTCCAGCGCCTCGGTCTCGGTGAACTTGGCCAGCATCTCGGTCAGGTGGCACGAGCCCTGGGCCGCCGACTCCCTGCTGTTGCTGTGGTAACGCTCGGGGAACTCCAGGGACAGGTCCCAGAAGGGCTCCACCGTGTTGGAGCGGTGGTCGCACGCCAGGCACGTCACCTGCAGGCCACAGCGGGGAGCGTGGGAAAACACAGCTTTGGCAAGAATAATCCACAAACTACAACAGATTGAAGAGATTTTGAAGGGGGGGGCCACCGACTGCCCGCCCCAGGAACCCCAAACGGTGAGAGATGGGGCCTTGTGGCTCCAATATGGCGGAGGCCCACCTTTCGTGACCAGTTCAATGTCTGAATGAGCTTCCTTGGAGGTCGTGGGGAGAACAGTTAGGCCTGAAGCGGGCCTTTTTCGGCTTTCTCATTCATTTCCTATGGGACGGCGTTTTGGTCTTTTTCGCCATTTATTAAAAAACGCCGGGACTAATAAGAGACAAAAATATAAGCATGTGTCCCCTGGTCGGGTTGGACACGTGTGCCGATTTTGGTCCTGATCCGTTGAACTGTGCGGGACTATATTCGACGCAAAATCCAGACGGAAACGGAACTATAATAAGAAGAAGTTGCCGAATAAGTATTTACAATACCGCTGGCAGTGGCCCCCCTAATCAGGCGCCACCCTTTTGGGTTACGTCAGGGCTGTGGGTGAAAGGTTTAATCAAGAAGAAACAGCTCTCAGCGTGTATGATCAGGAGTGAATCGCTGGTCCTCAACTTTCTACTCCCACTCTTAACATCCTCACTCCATCATTAGAATTAGATTTGCGATGATCATGATGATGAGGAATAAAAGTGATTATGTGTGTGTGTGTGTGTGTGTCATACCTGGCTGAGAAGCTGGCCGTGAAAGATGGTGTTGACCACGCTGAGCACCTGCTTGATGAGCCTCTTCTGGGGGACGCCGGCGCCGGTGGGGTGCTTGCCCGTGCTCTCCAGCTCGCGCTGCACCTTGTCCAGCAGCTCGCACAGGAACTCCTGCGCGTCCTGCTGGGCGTAGCCCCGGAACGCCGGGATGAGCTGCCACACCGAGTGCAGCATGGCGAAGGGCGAGACCAGCGCCCACTTGCCCGACCACATGACCTGGAAGAGCGTGTGCAGCTCGTGGCACAGCGAGATGTGCTTGGAGCTGGGCTCCTTGGGCTGGATCAGCTCCATGCTGCGGGCCCGCGAGGCCCCGCCGCTCAGGCCGGCGCCGGGGCCCCAGCCGGCCTGCGGGCCCTTCCGCGGGGCCAGCGGGGACGGCGGCGGGACCTTGGCGGCCAGCTGGCCGTGGACGGCGGAGGCCAGCAGCTCCAGGGCCTGGGTGAGGTCCAGGCGCAGGAAGCACTCCCTGAAGACGTGCAGGTGGCTCAGCACCTGCAGGATGGAGTTCATGTAGCAGGTGTTGCCCAGGTTCCTCAGCCCGGTCACGCCGGGGGTCACCGTGGGGCGCCGCTTGAAGGGGGAGCCGCCCTGTTTGGCGCACTGCCGGCGGCGCGGGGGGGTCTGGGCGGGGCGGGGCGGCGCCGGGGGCCTTTTGGGCCGGGGCTTGGCAGTGGCGGAGCGGCCGCGCGGCGTGGAGGCCGGCGGGGGCTTTTTTGTCTGTTTGGCTTTCTTTGGGGCTGCGGCGGCAGGGCTTCGAGTCCGTGAGCGGCGGGTCGGGGAGGGGGCCGCGTGGGTTTTGGTCTGCCGGCGCGGCCGTCGGGAGGCGGGCGCCGCCACCGCCGCCGCCTCCGCCACCCGCTGGCTCTTCCGGCGCAGGCGGCGGCTTTTCCTGAGGGGAGCGTTCTCCAGCTCCTCCTGTAGCTGCCTCTTCAGCGCGCGCCTCCTCTCCCTGGCCTCCCTCTTCTGCTCCTCCTCCTCCTCCCGCCTCCTCTCCTCCTCCTCCCTCCGCCTCCCGCACTCGGTCAGGCCGAACCAGAGGCGGAAGACGCGGCCCATGAGGGCCCGGCGGCGGTGCCACAGGGCGGTAAACATTCGGTCCTCGTCTCTCAGCTGCAGCTCGCTGGCGCCGCACGGGAGGAGGGCGTCCGGCGCGGCGCTGGCCGAGCGGAGGGTGCGCCCGCTGCGGGTGGTCACTTCATAGCGCTGGCTCTGGATGGCGCTGAGCGTGCTGCGCAGCAGCTTGAGGTCTCCGGTGGTGTTGTCGTTCAGGACGTAGTCGTCGCACAGGTAGCAGAAGACGTAGAGCTCGTTGACCTCCATGGCCAGCGGGTGGCGCTGCTGCTGGAAGTGCTGCAGGGCGTGCTCCTCGATGTAGCGGCCGCAGGCCACGTGCGCGCAGCCCAGGCAGGCCCAGACGGACTCGGTGGTGTTGCAGTCCACGCAGTGCCACTTCTGGGGGTTGAGGATGGAGTGGTCCGGGGCCAGCCGCAGCCGCCCCACATGCTTGCACCGGTCCATTTACGCACGCCGGCCGGCCGAGCAGGCGGGCTGGCCCTGTCGGTGGGCAACGGACGCTGCGCGCGAGGCTGAGTGTCTGGCAGTGTCCAACACTGGCTTCATATCATACCACCATGGTGAGGCCGAGACACGAGACCCTCCCAGGGCATGGCGGTGCCTGAGAGGGAAGGAGAGCAGATCGTGTAAGGAGGAGAGCATGACTATGGGGGGGAAACAAGGCAGTGAAACCTGAAAGCTGTAACCTCTGGTGGTTGCTTCACCAGGTAACAACTAAGCAGAGCAAGCTCAGTCAAACCGGAAGGTGGCAGGTTGACTTAAACGCTCCCTGACAGCAACGAGGACCCAAAGTAAAACTTTTTTTATAACAATTACCCTCTGAAACGTGCAGGAAGGCTTGTTCAAACACTCACCGAACAAAAAGTGGTTTGGTGCAAACTCAGCCTAAGCCACCAACCAACAGTCTCCACTGAACCTCTTTTCCCTATTTTCACGACCCCTCAGGGGTTGGTGTTCTTCAGTAAGGAAAAAAAGAGAAAGAAAAAGAGAAAAAAGTGGGAGCTTCGAGGTGCCCGAATCCCCATTAGCACCCACCCACTGAGGTCAAGGAACCAAGCTTCCCTCACAAAAGAAGTCTGAATGTGTTACCTTTGTCTGGGTACAGGACTACCTTTGAGAGAGGAAATGAAAGAACAACCCAAAGAAAATACCCTGCTAGGAAATTCCCTCGGCGACAATGAGAATCTGGTCGAAAGCAAGTAGATTGCCTTCTTTCAAAATCTATCATCTTGAGGTGCTTTATATAAGATAAGTTAATGAGTTGAAGACATTGACATAAAGATTATTTAAAGCACAGCATTTTGTTTAAGATTACTCTACATGTCAAAAAGAGAGTTTATTTTAACATGTGAGATACGATTTCACCTTTTTAACATCTCATGAACTGTTTAATATTAACACAAGTTTATCAAGAATTCATAGCAACAGCTTTATGAATCTGTTTACACTCCTTTGACCCATTACTGATTAATCTCATTATCTCATAACCCTTTTAGTTTCAAACATCATATAGACTTTGTTTCTCATTTTTCTGTACTTTTACTTGAGGGAGATCTTTGATATAATAAAGTATGTACTTTGATTTATCTTATGTAATAGGCTTCATATTCAAATGGGAGTCTCCAGTTCCAAAAATCTTTAGTTCTAGTATTTCATGTATTACTACTGTTTGCTACCTGACTCAAGTCTCAACAGGCGTTTGTTTACCACCAAATGAGATTGAGTGGGCGTGTTTATTCAACCGTGTTCACCAGATTATGATGCCATGAATCAAATGGTGTGATATGAGAATGTTCCCGTTTGCTGTCAAATGTCCAACACAGATCCGGTGATAAAAGTCAAGATAGCTTACACTGGCAGTAGCCCCACGCTGAACCTTCACATGGCGAGCAATAAACATTTAGAAAAAACGTGGCACAGTAACATCCCGCTACATATCATCCACCCATATCCATCCGGGCTTTAGGAGCAACGCCAGTTATAAAGCAAAACCACCACAGAGTCTGTAAAGAGTTCATTCCGAGTTCCTCATGGCATAAGTTTCCACAGAAAGTTAGCGCGCTTTGCCTGGTTTGTCCTTGCGCCTGCACGCTCTGTTTTCACTGGGTGAATATCTCTAACCCGTGCTGTAACTCCAGGGTAAATGAGCCACAACTAAATGCAGCCAAACATGTCTGAACCAACACATTTTCTATAGCAACATCACACAGTCCAGCGTTTGCCCAAACAGCTGGAAAATATTTCTCCCCTCACAGCTAACGTGTACTAGCAACCGCTAACTTGTAACTGGTAGCTATGGGGATTACAAAACACTAAATCATTCAGAAATATATAGATAACTGCTCGACAGACCTTCAAAAGTAATCACTCTAAACTACTTAAACTACACACAGAGCACATGTTAATATTATCAGCTTATGCACCCTCCCCTATATTTAAAGAAATGTATATTCAAAAGATTAATAAGCTCTATCTGTCCTTGCTGCTAAGTTTAGCCTAGCATGCTTGGTAGCATTAGCCGGCTAGGCTAACAACGTTAATTCCAACAAGTTCAGGCATCAGCCGGAGGTCGCCTCCCGGCTTTAGACACCGACCTGTGGGGTGTCGTTTACCGAGATCAACTGTGTGTGCCGTTACACTGTTATATTCGAGCAACGAGAGCATACAGAATGAAAGAAAGCAACATACTGAGCCTCTCCTTCACGACAGTGATTCCTCTGTTTCTAAAATGATCGCCATCTTGTCAGTCCCTGTCGCGTGGTGTTGGCTCGAGCGCGTCCTCGATTCGTGACGTTGTTGTTGTTATTGTTGACGTTTCGAGTGTGCTGACGAAGGCGCTCATTTTGGTTTTCTGTGTTGCCCGGCATTTGTGCTAAGTTTAGTTTACGTGAGTGTTATCATTCCGAATCCGTTTGCGCATAATCTAGTTTGGTTTGCTCTACGTTTATTTTAAATTCGCCTATAAAAAGGATCTATTTTCAAGAATAGTCCACTTTAACATACTACACTATTAGAAATGCGCATGCGTCCATGAGGTTCGGCTATTCTGATAAAGATGGTTACAAGTTTAACTACCCGAGCACTACCCACCACACTAAGAATGATCAATTGTTATATATCATTCAGCATTTTGATATGTTGAGTTCTTTCAGCAGAGTGGTGCTGCTGTCGATGCATAAGAAG